GACTACTCAACTACTCAAGTGGGAGGTCATGTCACAGTATCTCGTTCAGACTACTTTAGTAGCAGATCACACTATCTCGTTCAGGCTGCTTTAGTGTCAAAGTATCTCGTTTATGTGGGGGCCCTATCTCGTTACAAGCGAATACTGATGATAGACAAGCACATAGAGCGTGCAGTAGACTACTTTAGTAAAGCCTAAACAAAAGTGGTTTCCTGGTTGCTCATATATATAAATATACTATTATGTACTCATATACTGCATAATTAGTCATCTATCAGTATCAACAAAAAAACTCTCCACAAGAAAAAAGGAATGGGGTGGGGAAAAACACTTTCAACACCACCCAGTTCTTGCTGTGACGACTATTCTACTAGGACATGGGGTCACATCAGTCCGGCACAAACACCCCCCCCGAAGCCCATCGACCCTCGCCTGTCACATTGCAGGCCTCAAGGATCCGTCACTGTGAGCATCAAAGCGCCAGAGATCCATCGTTATACAGCCCTAGGGCTCCAAGTACCTTCTAAGAAGGTGTTTGGGGTGGGTTTAGAGGGTCCAGTCATACCGAACCTGAGGAGCTACGACTGGAGCCCCAGTATCGGGCAGTAGTTATTTCCATCATGTTCACCCACGTTCCATGGCGGGGTGTGGAAAAGAACCCCTTCGACATGAGGACAAAGCCTTTTAACATGTCAGCTGACATGGAAGGGTCGACACCAGCGGATGGTCCGACGGTTGTGGAGCTTGTGGAAAGACTTTCACAACCCTAGCTGCCATTGTTTCCTGACCAAGAATGTCACAGCTTTTGTTAGCCTAGCCTAGCTCCCTATAAGGGTTGAAGAGGACCGAGTTGAAGAACATCTACACAAGTCTATAAGAAAAGTGGTGCCTTCCTTCCGGTGTGGCGTTTTCTTTCCAGGTCCGTCCGAACATGCAGGTCACGTCCGTCAGGTCTTCTGAACTGTCCGACGTCGTAATCAGAATATGTATGCACTATGACTGATTATATATATATACTATAATAATCATAGTCATACATAGTCTAGGACCCACTGTCGGGGTGGTTAATGGACACCCCTTCACCTCTTTTCGGGGCTATCAATAGACACCCCTGGCCCGGGTGTCCTGGCGAAGACCGACCCTGAAAGGAGGAAACGAGGTCCCGGTAGACACCGGTTGGGGCGTCTCCCTGTTAGAATGCACACCCTTATGTCATGCCTTTCAGATTGCCCTTGTTGCGCGAGTCATTTTCAAGGTGTGAACGGGAGGAGGTTGGTTGTCTTCCTGTACGTGTTGTTTGTTTTCTAATGTTGGTTCCTGCAAGAAGTTGTGAGGATACAAACACAAAATCACCCACAGCGCAACTTCATGCTTCAAAGGGGATTACACCATTACCAAGCCCGAAACACGATGGCAACTGCCGCATAGAGAGGAGGAGGAGGAGCTGGCTTGGCTTTACTTTATATAGATTAAAGGCACCAGTAGACTCACTAGACGGTCTGAGAACAAATAGGTTGTTTCTCTCCCTTCATGATGTGTACACGCCACATCTCAACCCTCTTGAACGCCCGGTCAGGGAACAGCGCTACGTCTCTTTGGCACTCGAGACCCGGCAGATCGGTGTTGGAGAGGGGGAAAACGCGTGAATTGCAAAATGTGTCATCCCAAACAAGGTGCCTCTGGTAGCAGCTTTTGGGATTGGACAAGTTGCTCAAACAGATCAAACAATGGTGCTGCACCCTAGCAATCACTCCCACCAAAACTGCTCAAACAGCTCGGCCATCTTTCTCCCCGAACAATGCCGAAGGCACAGGGATTGGAACAGCAATTCGACCAGGCCACAGCAGGCAACACCTCAGCGAGACGACCCCCTTCAAGAATCGAACGGCCCGATGTGGTAGCTGTGTGAGTTCCGGCGGGACCACATGGTGAAGAAGCCATGGGGACTTTCTTTGCCCATACGGGCCCTAGAAGGTACTGCACTCCATGTGAGCATCAACCCAAGAAACATCAGGTGGGAGAAATCCTGGTAGGACGGTTTCATATCCCACCCACTTCACTCTTCAGTAGACACTAGACCAAAACCGTTTCAAACATCGGTCAATACCAAAAACATCAACGTCATCTGGGCACCTCGCCTCGCAGTGATCGAAAACTGAGACCGGGACCCAAAGAAGCAAGCCTTGGTGAGGCAGCAGCCCTACCCGCCCGTGTGCCGAGGTCGGAATCACAGCTGATGGATCCAGTGCCAAAATGTAGACTCTTGCTTGATTAATAACCACCCCCTTATGAAGAGGTTCTTCAATGCAAATGGGGGAGGTTATTATATGGTATTATTATATGTTATTGCTAAATCACAAGTCTACATTAGGCCTCCAGATGCCAAACCGTTCATGGAGGAGTCAGAGGAGTCAGAGGGCGTCGTTTTCAAGGACTCCAGGGCCCACGAGCCGCTGAGGGGGAGCCGCTGCCCTGTCAAGTACGACCTGTTTCCGCCTCTTGGATTTGGCGTGGGGAGACCAATCCCCCCTAAGTTTCCTGGGTAGGCTGTAGACCCAGACCTGGCAGCTCTCTGTAGAGCAAGCTTGCTCGCGCCTCCTCAATAGCTGGAGCGAGCTGGCGCCTCCTTAGTGTCTCCTCAGTTGGTATTTGGACCCTCTAGACGCATCCCAAACAGCTTCTTAGAAGTTAGAAGGTACGACTGGAGCCCTAGGGCATGGATCATCAACCCTATAGTGAAGAGGCGCCAGGTGCAAATACCACTGCCTGAATCCGGGACCCTTCACCACCACACATGATGAGACTACAGGCCCCAGACTGAAGGCATCCCCAGTTGGAGTCGAACTTCCACAACCTACATGAGCGAAACTGAGGACCCAGCAGCGCATCGGTGGTGGCAGTCACGCTCCAAAGCCGCCCAAAAAAACACGCTCGCGTTGGCGGCTTAGATGCTGAGGCTGAGAGCAAAGCTTTTCAGAAATGGATCGACAGTTCGGCTGAGTGGACTGTTTCAGTGTGATTCATACAGTACTGATCAGTACTGGCTCCCTGAAGGGAACATGTTTGGAAGGTCTAGGCTGGGCAAGTACTTCTGATTGCTGACCGATTGAAATGTCGAAGGTCCAGGATTCCGATGTGCATGGGATATGCAAGCCACGAGTTGTAGTTATTGTCGGAGCTGGCAGTAAATACCTTCAACAATAATCCATGCACATGGCTTTTCAGCCCTTAGTTATGTAGCGCTTGGTAATCCATGTAAGGACTTGCAGCTCTTAGTTTCTGTGGCATGTTTGTTTATCTCCGCAGGCCTTGAACGGCCTTGAACTGCTTCCGACTCGAATCACAGTGGCGGTCCGCAGTCTACGCAGGCTTCTCGCAGCTTCTTGCAGTGGCTTCTCGCAGTCTAATGGTCGACTCTTGATTAATAAACCACCCCATGTGAAAGAGGTTTTCTCAATTCAAACGGGGGGGCGGAGGTACTTTGATCAAGAGTTTACATTACCCTAGGGCTCCAACCATATCCTCAGAAGGTATGACTGGACCTCCAAACCCGCTCCAACCACCTTCTCAGGAGGTGGGCCAGGAGCCCTAGGGTTATATACCTGTCTTGTTGCTCTAGGTACTCAACCTTTAAACCTCCATCACGCTTCCTCCATGTTTGCTTCGCTGTTCGGCATGTTCTGAAAAAACCCTCTGAGGGTGTGGGCCGGGAGGCAGGTTGTCCTCTTCCTACAGCACCACCAGGTCACCAGGAATATTTCAGGGCCCCCTAAGGGGGTGTCCAATAATGGCCCCTTTGGAGGTTAAGGTTAAGGGGTGTCCATCAACCACCCCATAGGGGTTCCCTAGTATCTGCTAAAGTAGGCCAAACGATGCCAACAGACACCACACCCGGGCAGTCAGGAGGCAGGAGATCTTCTTACCCCCAAATACATGCCCATACTCTGGGTCCCATATCACAACCGGTTGGCAACGCCGCTCCTTCTTTTGGGTTGTCCAAATTATCACCAGAGCTTAGCATGGAAATTCCTGAGTTTGGTGGCAAACACCAGGGCAGGAGCACTTGTCCCGGATCTGTTTGTCCGATGACACTGCTGGATGCTGGATTTGATGGTCCCGCATCAAGCAACAAATCCAAGCATAATGAGCTCTTGACGTTCGATCAAGAAGTCCTGCTATATGATCTCGACCAAAAGGAAACAAAACCCAAAGAAGACAACTAAAGCAGGAGCAGGTGCAATTTTTGTCCCCAATTTGGATTGCTTCCGCACTTGCAGCCTCAGTAAAAGCGTTGAAGCCGTCCAACCACAACGCCAAAGTGGTGGTGTCATCCAAAAATCATCTAATGTCAATATAGGCCGATCTTACAGTACCAGTCTGTATCCTGTTTTTTTCTTAATTATTGTTTGTTTTTTTTAGTTGTTTTTAAGGACATAACCTTGTTTGAAGTGAATGTCTCGATTGAACTAGGGCTTTGTTTACTCCCATCTCTTCACTTCAAACATATATATATATATATATATATGAGTTAGCGTCAAAAATATATGCTTGGAGTGTTTTCGTTTCACTTTTGTCAGTCCCCTATCGTTTTGCATGGTTTTGGATTTTGCAAGTATGTCAGTCCCCTATCGTTTTTCAAGGAAAATCACGAAAGCAACACAGAGATGAAACGTCCCTTACTAAAGTGGTTGATGAAAAATTTTGAGGTTGCCTCATATATATGTCAAAGTGTCGAACAGAAGACCCTCTCAAAGGATTTCAGCAATCCTTATGGATTCACTGATCTGAGAACAAAAGAACAACTGCCACTTTCTGGGTCTTTTCCACATGGCCGCAAACCCTTTTGGAAAAAAACCAGTTGGTAACTCCATGTAACTCATGTACTTGGTTTCCTGGGATTTCAGCACAACCACTTGGATCAAAATAATAGCTGCGCTCCACATTCCATCACCGGTATGCTACTGAGCTGCTGCTTCTCCCTGATACAGCGCAGTGCAGACCGCCCGCGCTGCGCGGCGCAGGGTGTGCAAGGTTTCGAGCAAGGCAAAGGAATCCTGAGAGGATCCGCGGGGACTTTCTGTCGTGCTTTTGGCAAAAACTAGGTCCAGTCTGGGTCGATGCCAGCAAGAAACCTATTGGTTGTTCACCTATTGGTGGTATGCCCAAAAAAATGAATCAACCAACATCGGTGCCTCGAATGTAAAAATACTTCACCACTTCACATGATTGGGACTGCTACAAACCTTACGAGAAATCAGGTCGGACCTGGCTTCGTCACCTGCAAGTCGTGTCCGGACATGCTGGGGACATCAGACATGGGGGATCGTCTCAGACCGGCCCACGTCGAACGTCCGTGACAGAGCCATCCCTAAGAGCTTGGAACACCATTCGCACTACCAGGACCCTCCTGTCGGGGTGCCCTGTCTGGAAGCCTATAGGTAGTGTGGGGTAGTCCAGCCAGGACACCCCTTGGAGGTTCCAGGTATTGGAGGTATCTATCTAAATAATATATTCAACTCATTTTAATTAGTACGTTCTTTCATCCGAACTATGAGTGGAGAACAGTGCGAACGAGAATGCAAACAAACAGAGGCCTCTGACAACAACCCGGCAAGCGGCAATTTTTTTGCGTGTGAAATGTGAATAGGTAAGACTGACCCTTAAAAAGGTTGCATCATGGTAGACGAGACATCGTCAGCTACCCAAGTTGGCTCTGCACAGGTGCTGATCAAAAGCTTCAAACTTGCTTTGCCAGAGGTAAAGGACATAACATATCAAACATATACCATAAGAACATCAAAAAAAATGTACTCTGCTGTACAGTAAATACAAGGACAAATTAAACATGTTTAAATGGAACAGAATAGATAACTAGATCAAACATAATCAAACTGTCAAACTAAACAAGGTCTGGAGTTTGGTCCGAAGGGGGTGACCTTCTCTAGAGCTTTGGAGGCATTCTAGCTGAACATGCCTGCCGCTCCATGTCAGGCGCTTCGTGGGTGATTGCGTTGCTTCCTCCCAGGCATCTGATCTATGAATCAGCTGAGTTTAAGTATTTAAGGATGAAAACTTCCTCATTGCAGGGTTTGAATCGAAGGAGCTTGGAGTGAGTTAACAAGCAAAGCAACTTGCAAACGCCTCAAACCTGAAAGCAGCGGACCCTTCAAAGCGAAAACCAAGGAACTTGCATTGCCTCGTAGATGGTCAGTAGGCATTCCTCACTCATGGAAGCGCTACCAAAGCAAACAATGTGTTTTTGAAACCTGTGGGCAGTGCGATGATATTCCAAATTCCAGAGTGTGAGGCATTTTGGTAAATCCTTCCTGTTACCCCCCTGCCCCGAGGTCCCAGAAAACTGTCAGAACGGACGATCAGGTGACGGCCAGGTTGAGCAGATAGGATTCGATAGGATTCCCACCGTCGCGTTTGGTCCTGCACGTCCATCATCACACCCTCAATGGTCCAGTATGCTTCACCCTTCTTCCTATGATTTTGGTCGGAACCAGATGCAAATTGAAACGATATGAACTGGAACATCCAAATCATCCAATGAAAGAACTGACCGCACTGGGTGAAGTGTACATTGGTGTACCATTCAGAGCTGTCTCATGAAAACCACATGAGGTTGTTGAAGCACTCTCGCAAACCTGGGCCTCAAAACACCAAATCTATACAAACGTCTTGAATTAAGAAAAAGAAACACGTGAGAAAACACACAAACACATACACGTTGCACAAACAACCAACAAAGGGGTATGGTTTTGATATATGTCTGAATATGTCTGATATATATATATATATTACTTTGTTTTCACATCTTATTTGTTGCAATATCCTCTTGAAACCAGCTTGATCGCCCATTCTCCACCCTTTCTAACCGCGCTTCATACGTGGCCGGGTCGTCTTCTGCGTCCGCCGGCTGCTGATGGCAAAGCTGCAGAGCTGCGAAAGGCGCCCAGCCGCGGACGCAGGCGAAGATCAACGAATTGTAGATCACGCCATCGCTTCCCTGGAGTTGTATAGGGTGCTACTAGTAACAAGGGCATCGCTATTAGTAACAGGTGCATCGCTACTAGTAGCAAGGACTTCCTACATGTTACACTGCCGTTTTTGTGGCTACACTCTCAACCATCAACATGGGAATGAAACATATGTCCCGATTTCGGATGACCCTCTTGTTTTACAAGCAGGGGATATGAACTCCATCTCCAGGTGATGTGTTCGTCGGAGAGTAGGACATCCTTCGGTGATTTGAGGGCTTGGGTCCGGTGCAAGGACCTGAGCAAGTACGACTGGAACCATGTGCCCACTGGGGAGGGAAGTGGGTAGTTAAAAATGGTTCCAATCAACACGCGGACTGGGAGTCCTTGGGAGAAGAGCGGCATAGTTATAATAAACGAAAGGGTGCTCGGATCTCACTTGTGATGGACAGTTCTGGGTCTGCTACACTTCACTTGAGACCATCCACTGATTTACTGTAATTACTAAGATTCACTCATTCAAAAGAGGTCTTAATGACCATGATGGAACCCTTGGGGTGTTGGCCCAGTCCATCCACGTCTTGGCCTTGGCAGTATTAAATAAATATATATATATATATACATATTTTTGATTTTGGTAATTGCAGGTCAAAAACAACTCCGCGAACCCAAGACCTATAGAGAAGCACGTTGGTGGCAGTTACCAACCATCCCACACTGCATGTCACTGTGGTGGGAACTTTGTTATGTATGAACCTCACAAGAATGGATTTGGTACTTAAGATTCAACACAACCAACAACAACAAATACAACATTGACGACGGCAACAACAACAACAACACCAACAGCAACAGCAACATTAACATCAACATCAGCAACTTCTTCTCACGCTCTCAAGGAGCTGCGCTGCCCTTCAATTCAGAATACATTTCATGAATTTTTCCAACATGTCTTGGTTGGACTGTGTGATGGAGGCCTGAAGAAACTGCATCCGGAGGATGCTTTTGCCGACGCCGACTACAAGAGGGTCAAGGAGGAGACTGGGGTGAAGTAGAAAATTCTCTTGAGCCGTGTGAGAGTGTGTTGACTTCCCTTTTTGCCATTTTGGCTGTGTTCCTAAGGTTCGATTACCTACCACTTTCCCGTGGAGAGCCGGGTGGGGGTCGTTCGGATTTATTTTGTGTCAATGACTTTCTTTCCGTCTCCCCATCTTTGGCCAGAGGTGGAGAAGTGTGATGGGATGTTACCCAGTTGTGCACTAGTGTAGAGTTTACCATGGTGCCAAGTATGGCCCTCTTGGCGGGCCCGGCAAAGAGCTCTGGCAAAGCTTCTTTTAAAATTAGAAGAAGAAACTACTATTGCCACAGAAGCTCGGCTAAAATTAGAATATATAAATTTGTTTGTTTACCCTGAGCATCGTATCTAGATTAGAATCAATATTTATTGATTCTGAGCTATTGATTTTTCTCATATTGATTAGAATCAATATTTTCTCTTGATTTGTTTATTGATTTATTTATTGATTCGTGTATTGATTTTTGTATTGGTTCTCTTATTGATTTTTTGATTTTCTTGTTGATTGTTTTTATTGATTTGGACAACCCTGTCTGACATGATTTTTGCATGTGTGTCCAGCTGCTCAAGAGATAGGAAAGCAAGACAAGATCTCATAAATACAGAGTCTTGGAAAAGACCAGTTGGTCTTGGAAAAGGCCAGATGTCTGGCAGAGGTGGGGGCAGGCACCATGCCAAACCCTTTGTGGATTCAGGGATCCTCTACAAGTGCTTGGAAAAGCATGAGGGGATCCTCTCAGATCTGGGTGGGTATGAGCATGTCAGCATTACACAGGCCCCAGATCCTAAAGGGTTGGTGCACTGCATGCCCTTGTGGAAGGATCTGGTGAGGGTGGAACCCTCTGGAGAATGAGCATGTCAGCATTACACAGGCCCCAGATCCTAAAGGGTTGGTGCACTGCATGCCCTTGTGGAAGGATCTGGTGAGGGTGGAACCCTCTGGAGAGATCCATGGCCAGCTTTTGAGGGCTGCCATGCTGTCGCTTCTGACTGAGAGGCCAGAGCGCAACAAGAGCAACCACTCAGGTGCTGTGTGGGTGAACCTGAAGCTGCAAAGGCTCACATGCCTTTTGGCTCATGTGCGCAAAGTTGGTAGGGATGCCAGCTGTTTGAGCCCCATTGCTGCCAAACTGAACAGGCAGGAGTACACCATGTTGTTGGATAGCTTAAAGCTCATGGAGCTGCCTCCCTTGGAAAAGGGAGATGGGGCAAAGGAAACAGCCATGGTTGTCTTGGAAAAGGCAGGGTCCCTACCAACAAGCTTGGAAAAGCAAAGCAACAAGGGAGAGCAGTGATGTCTTGGAAAAGGTCCCTCCCTAGGGAAGCTGCCAGTGAGCAAGCAAAGGCCTGGGCACAGGCTTTTTGCAGAGGCTGAAGACTTGCAAAATTGGCTTGGAAAAGCCAAAGGCAAAGGCCAAGGGAAAGGCCAAAGCCAAGGCAAAGGCCATGGCAAAGGCCAAAGACAATGGCCAAGAAGCCTGCAGCCTTGGAAAAGGCTTGCAGGAAGCCTTGGAAAAGGCTGAAGATGACATGCGCCAAGAAGCCTGAGAGGGCATACCTGCAAGGCTCCACAGATGGTGGCAAGCTTCACCTCATTGTTGAATGCTCAGCAGCCAGGTGCGCCCAGTACCATGGAGTGATCTCCAAGATCAAGGCAGCCTTGGAAAAGGATTGGCTGACAAAGGATGAGGCAAGGCAGCTCAGGGAAGACCTGTGCCACAAGCATGGCTGCTGAACAATGGGATTCTTGGGAAAGAATCATTATTCTTGGAAAAGAACCCATGGTGCTTTGGAAAAGGTACCATGCATGGTTCTTGGAAAAGGACCTGTAGGAACTTGTAGGTAGTGTCCTTGGAAAAGGATATGTAGCTCAGCATCCTCAAAAGCAGGATTGCAGTTTTTGTGTGAAAGGAAAGGAAAAAGGGTGGAAATGTGTGCAATGGGAGCATGGGCTTGGTTTTGGTGCATGAGTTTGGTGTTCAACTATATAGGTTGAAACAGTGTCTTGGAAAAGACACTAAAGGGTTGGGCAACCTGGTGTATAGGTTGGGCAGCTGTGTGTTTTAGGTAAAATGGTGTGTTTTGTCTGCAGCCTTTCTGGCTTGAGGGCTGCACTCAGCATCAGCTCAACAAACCAACAGTACCACACTCCAACAGCACCACATAGTACACCCATGGACACTGCACTGGACAACAGCATAACAGCTACACCCCATATTATAGGTAGTTAGCAGCATAACAGCTACACAGTAAACACTCCAAGTTAACCACAGGTCAGCAGCATAGTAGGTCGGTAGCCAGGGCCATAGCTGCTGCTGCTTTGGCTTGGGAAAGCCAAAGCTCTACCTTGGCTTGGAAAAGCCTTGGTTTGGCTTGGGAAAGTCATCCAAGGCTTGGAACAGCCTTCTGGCTTGAGAAAGTCTGTCATTTGGCTTGAGAAAAGCCAAATGTACAAGTATGATGCAGACTGGGGGGTGTGGGTCTGGCATGATGAAGTGAACAAGAAGAGGAGGCCAAAGAATGCGATCGTCAGGAGGTTTAGACTTAGTGAGTGGTTTGGCATGTGAATGCAGTCATTAGCACAGCGCCAAAGGTGCAGAGGTAGGCTGTGCAGCTGCAATCAACCGCAGCTTAGCCGCGGATGCCACCAGCTCACAGGTCCACGCGGGCAGCGAATGCCATGGGCCCCGAAGGAAGGGACGGCCCGCGAAGGACGATCCTGAGCGTCCTTGATCTGCAGAGGTTTTTTTGGGGGGGGCTCATCTTCCAATGGTTGAGGACCGCCCTACTCGGGCTCATCGGGTCGAGAACCCCAAGGGATCAACCAAAGACAGACGGCCGCAAGAGCATCTCAGGCTTGGAGTGACTGTCAATGTAGAAGACCTTCATCCTTTTCAGGCTGCGAAGCTGCTCCGTCGCTCCCCACCACGGGTTGGAGGAAGAATGGCTTGCCCCAAGGCCTCCATCTTCGCACGATCCTTCGGGCTCAACTCCCAAAAGCCCGCCTCGGACCCCCGGAGAGCCAGCTCCCGTGCGTGCGGCCTTTAAAGTGTCCATGAAGGTCTTCTCCTCGAAATCCTCTCACATCCCGTAGCCCTCGCGGACCTTCCCCTGCATGAAGTTCTGTACGAACTCTCTCAACGGAGCAAAGAGCAAGGCAAGACCATCCCTCAACTTCTCTTGCACCAGCTCCGGCAAGCTAGAGGAGTCGTCCATGGTCAACTCTCCTTCCAACATCATGCCCGGACGATAAGGACCAGAGAGAGGAAAAGAGCCAGCTGAAAGACTTGAGCAGGGTGGCAGCCTTCACATAAGGCTCCAAATGAACCAGAACTCCTCCGCACTTCTCTTCGACAGTCGCAGCAATAACCCTCTCGCAGAATTCTCCCGGGCTGTTTCTCCCTTCTTGACCAGAAAGGCCACTCCCTTTGGAGACTCCAAATATACCCATAGAGAAGGAAGGCCGCCAGGAAAACGCCAAAAATCGCCAAAAGCTCGCTCAACGGAGAGTCCACGCCGCTCCACGACGCGACGCATTCTGTGCTTGAAGAGATCGTCTCCATTCACTGGAACATACCCCGGAAGTCAGCTTCACATTCTACTTCTCTGCCAGCTCCTTTTGTAGGATCGCTGCTCCACCAGGGCCTCCGTAGGCTTCAAGAAATCTCCCTCCTCCAAACCCACATCCGCAAAACACCGTCCTACAGTCATGTGCATTTAGATGCACCATGCAGAAGTAACGCCAGAAACTCGTGTGTCTACAAAATCACGAATCCACTGCCGAACGCCATCCCTAGCCCGGTTTCCCCCCCAAAACGGTCTGATCCACCATTCTGTCAAATCTGCAGTGCCTCGTAGGAAGACTTCGACCACACAGCAGCCCAAGAGAAGGGCCAAAGGCCCGTAGATGTCAACAGCGCGAAGAGCAAGCGGCTGGACATTCCCACGGAAGGTCCATGTCGCGAGCTTGTCTCCAAAGAGCTCCCAAGAAACGAAATCTGGACACACAAAGCTCCAAAAGAAGACAGAGATGACATCGGGAAGTGCTTTCGGAAAGTTCCCTCCTTCTGGGTCACCTTCTCCAAATAAGCCACTCGGTCCAAAGGATCCCACACAGCACCGGGAGCTACAACAATCAGCAACAACAACAACAGAAACAAAAACACATGCAGTCAGCAACAACAACAGCAGCAGCAACAACAACAACAACAACAACGCATGCAGTCAGCAAAAACAACAAAAACAACAGCAGCAGCAGCAGCAGCAGTAGCAGCAACACATGCAGTCAGCAACAACAACAAAAACAACAGTAGCAGCAACACATGCAGTCAGCAGCAGCAACAACAGCAGCAACACATGCAGTAAGCAACAACAACAACAGCAGCAACAGCAACAACACAGGCGGTCAGCAACAACAACAGCAACAGCAACAACACATGCAGTCAGCAACAACAACAACAGCAACAACATATGCAGTCAGCAACAACAACAGCAACAGCAGCAACACATGCAGTCAGCAACAACAACAACAACAACAACAACAACAACAACAACAACAACAGCAACAGCAACAACACATGCAGTCAGCAACAACAACAGCAACACAGCAGCAACACAAGCAGTCAGCAACAACAACAGCAACAACACATGCAGTCAGCAGCAACAACTACAACAGCAACAACATATGCAGTCAGCAGCAACAACAACAACAACAGCAACAGCAGCAACACATGCAGTCAGCAACAACAACAGCAGCAACACATGCAGTCAGCAACAACAACAACAACAACAACAGCAACAACATATGCAGTCAGCAACAACAACAGCAACACCAGCAACACATGCAGTCAGCAACAACAACTGCAACAACACATGCAGTCAGCAACAATAACAACAGCAACAACATATGCAGTCAGCAACAATAACAGCAACATCAACAACAGCAACAACACATGCAGTCAGCAACAACAACAGCAGCAAGACATGCAGTCAGCAACAACAACAACAACAACAGCAGCAACACATGCAGTCAGCAACAACAACAACAACAGCAACAGCAACAACACATGCAGTCAGCAACAACAACAGCAACAGCAGCAACACATGCAGTCAGCAACAACAACAACAACAGCAGCAACAACATATGCAGTCAGCAACAACAACAACAACAACAACAACAGCAACAGCAGCAACACATGCAGTCAGCAACAACAACAGCAGCAACACATGCAGTCAGCAACAACAACAACAGCAACAACACATGCAGTCAGCAACAACAACAGCAGCAACACATGCAGTCAGCTCCCCCCAACTCTGCATCTGCTCCACCGCCCTCGCACAACTTTAGAACAGGTCGCTCAAGCCCAACGCAGCTTTTCTACGACTGCAGCAAGGTATTAAATGCCTACATGAAAAACTTGTTTCATATGCAGTCAGCAACAACAACAGCAACAGCAGCAACACATGCAGTCAGCAACAACAACAGCAGCAACACATGCAGTCAGCTCCCCCTAACTCTGCATCTGCTCCACCGCCCTCGCACCCGCCTCGCTGCTGAGATCTGCCTCTTGCAGCGCCCAGCGCCAGCGGCCTGCGGGCACCGTGGCCGAGCGAGCCCACCGAAGCCGACCCGGGAACGGCTGGGAGGTCTGCCGGACGCAGGAAGCCCAGAGCACACAGTCCCTAGGGCTCCAAGGACCTTCTTAGAAGGTGTTTGGGGTGGGTTTAGAGGGTCCAAATACCTTCTAAGGAGGTACTTGGAGCCCTAGGGAGTGTAGACTTGACTAATTCGAATAGGGAGACCCTACTGGAGACTGACAAAGTTCATTGGTTGGGAGGTCCATCTTGAAATACACATCGATCCATATGTGGGAATCCGTAAGAGTTCAAGATCCACATTGCTTATTGGACCCCAAAAAAACTCCTCCACCCTTAGTCGTGAAATATCATGAATCATGCCATACACCAGACCCAAACCAGGGGTGCCAACGTTTTGAAGGGGGTGGTGTCTCTTGGCCACCCCCCTGGCAGGTCTAGGGTCTAAGTCTCTTGGCCACCCTCTGGCCAAGTCTCGTCCTTCAGGGGTCTCCTAACATGGATGGTGATGGCACTCGTCCTGACGTCGCATCGGCATCCAAACCGCCTCCCTTGCCACAAGCGCTGGCCACTGAAGCACGACTGATGGCATCCGCCTGGCGCGGAGGTTCCGAACTCCGAGCTGAAACTGCTTGAACGGGGGGGGGCAGTTGGGGTGTGGTGCTCCACATGATTTGGTTCCCAAACCTTTTGACCTTCTCTGGGGCATGGGACAAGCCTATTTCCACATACTTCCACCAGGGATAGTGAGCAAAGAGGCGATGTTCCAGTTCCAGGGCGGCGATCCTGAACGACCAGTAGTAACATCAAGTAATCATTCACTTTAGTGAGCGTCACTCAGGGCATGGGCCATCCCCCAAAACCGTGCAAGTATGTGTTCCTGCCCCCGGCCAATGTAGTAAAGACCATGCATATGCCAGGACCCACTTGGATCGGCGGATTTTCATGGACACCCCTGTTTCCTCAAAGGGGCCACTTTTCGAGACCCCAACGTGCGGGAGGGGGCATGATCCACATATCCCTCTGACGTGTTCGGTGCGGACACGAGACCTGTCTTGACATATATGGCGCTCTTGGAAGGTCCTAGGACATACCGGCGCTCTTGGAAGGTGGCAGTGGATTTCCAGGGGGACTGGTCATCGTGTCTATCGCCGCCTGGCGTCCTGCATCCTTGGCTGAGGACAAGAGCGCTAAGCAGCTGAACCAAAGGCTGAAGCGCTCACAGCTGCTGACAGCCTGAGGTGCTGGAACTGGTCAAAGCACCGGTGGCCAAGAATAGGAAGTTGGTGATTTGGTTGGATATGATGGGAATAGAAGATTAAATTAAGGATCCAACCCTAAGGATACTGGGACCCTGCTATGGAAGGTCTTGGACACTCCACAAGAGTGTGGACCCGAAAGAAGTCCTTTGCATTGAAGGGCCCCGGATTCTTGGGGCAAGTAACAAATCAGGTAGCCTATATGCGCGATGTACGTCCGGTGCAGCAGATTCGGTGAACCATGTGAACCCGCAAGACTTCTGGGCCCCTTCTAGGGAGAATAGGAGAACATGGAGAAACACATCCGCTTGGCTGTGGGTCATATAGACGACTTACAGGAGGTCAACCTACTAGTCTGGAAAGCGCTCCGGGTGCCACCCACAGCCGAGCATTGGTGCCATGTTTTCACCCAACAGCCACCCACGCCGCTCAGTCCAAGGAGCTGAATTCCAAGTGACAATGTGCTGAGCGAATTCTTGGTGGCCGGGACTTGTACACTCCCCACGAACACATCACATGCACATGGACCTAAAAACCCCCTGTTTGTAGAGGAAAAGGGTCTTCCCGCTGCCTATATGTTCTACTTCCATGTTAGTGGGTCAGAGTGTACTAGCTCGAACCCAGACCTGACCCGTGCGCTCATGGGACAAGACTCAAGACCCTTTGGCAGGGATTCACCAGGGATTCACCGAGGGAGCTCAGAGTCGCTCAGCTGAGAGGTCCCAGCGCCTATAACCCTCCGCTTTCTTGTGTCTAATTAGACAAATCGCCTCTTAGAGGTCGAGGGATGTCTGTGAACCACTCCGACCGTGGGTCCTGTTCTACAAAGAAAGCACTCTCCCAAGATCCCAAGCATGTCACAGGGTTCGCATCTGAGCTCAGATGCCTTGCGTTGTTGAGATGCCAATGCAGCTTAAGGAACCAGTACCAGGAAAAATAACTATATTCTCCAGAAGGGGATCTAACCATGAGGAACATAAAACATAAAACAGTACTTTAAGCAAAACCAGGCAAGTGCCAATAGTATGAGCCTGACAATCCCCTCTCCACACGACCGTCCCGGACATCCTCCACACACGACCGCCCCGTTGACGGACTTCCCGTCGGGTGGCCGAACGGACGCTGGATCGCACCCGACACGTCTGGTGACGGACCCGGAACGGGCGCCCGACTTGACGTGAGAAGGCGCCGAAACAAATGGTGCCCCAAATGGCACAGAAAAGGAGGATTGGGTGTGGACTGTGTTTCGCTCCAACCAACTCGATCTCCAGTCTGTTGGACTGGATCTGAAACTCGAATTTTCCAGGCCGTGCATGCCGTTCTTCCACGTCATGTTTGACATCGATGTATCTTTCACCATGGAGTTGGAAACCATATCTGTTGACCAGAATCATTAGGATGGAGCATGATGGAGCTATCTTCCATGCAGCACCTGCTGTATCTCCAAGACATCCTGGTTTTGACCGTCCATGGAACTGGAAACGTATACCCTATGGATCCACACACCTATGGCGATCGGAGACACGGCATGGAGGGTCCAGTCATATCTTCTGAGAAGGTACTGTATGTGGATCCCAAGGGATTCAATTTGCAGGAACCGCGGGAAACTCAAACTACAAATCTTCCAGGGGATTCACCCAATCCGGAAAACATACACAACCACCCGAAAACCCCAAGACCTTTCTTTGTTCGTACACTACATTTGTTGACCTCTGTTCAACCACCCCCTGGGCAAAACGACGCTCATGAGCTCCAAACAGGTGGTGTTCCTGTTGCTTAACGGCCCGCGCCAAAGGCCTCGGCAGTTCGTATTTGACGTCGAACGGTCTCGTCTGGGCAGTGCCGGGGCACGCTTCGTGAAGGCATCACCTGAGAATCCGCTGAACTCACTCACTCCAAGTGCAGCGATTGATTGACACACCCTATGGATCCACATACCTTCTCAGAAGGTACTGGGACCCTCCTAGCGCCTACATAAATAGTCTCCAAATACCTTCTGAGGAGGTACGACTGGATCCATAGGGACACATCTTAAGGACTACAAGTCTCCAGATGTCCAAGATAGAGTCCTTGTGCAGAAGACGAAGAACGGACCCCTCACTGTGCAGTCTTTGGACTTCTAGCAAAGGCATATGATACTTGGAACGACCTGTGTGGCATGGAGTGCCAACCATCTAGAATATGGCCCAACTTTCTATCAAAAGCGTGGGTAGTAGCGTGGGTCAAATGGCTTCTATACTGATATACATCACTAGGTTGTGCGCTGGCTGGTGTTTCACAAAGGGAAGGAATAGTACCATTGGCCACGCTTCTGGGAATGCTGCAACTGGTATATACGGTAACCCCTGATTCCCCACTAAGGATCTGCCAATTAAAGCACTCATGCCTTGTTCACATGCCTTGATTCATTGGAAAAAAACACAGCGTCGCCGTTGAGGACATGATCATAACAACAGCAAACTGGTACCTTCACTATTTGGAGGGGTCGAACTACCTGGTGAGGAAGTGATTCCAAGGCGACTCGGAGATTCCGTCGATGCCTCCAACTCCAAGATTCTTCCTTGGAAAACCAACCCCCAAACACTCCATCGATAGAATACCAACCCAAGGCCTTCGGGGTGGTTGATTTCAGGGGGTCGGCTCGACCGGACCATTGGACCCCCCCGCCTCGCTACATCGCCTCGATCCGTCCCAGGGGCTCAGTAACTCCAGGGCCATGGCCCATGTTTGGCCCTTCTCACAGGCGCTGATGGTCGCTCCACAGGAAATCTCATCAAGCTGAATAGACCCGCTGCTCCTGGATGATGTGAGAAAAAGGAGCGGGATCGTTTGAGCTCCCTCCTGAAATTCCCATGGTGACAGGAGCATGTGGAACTTCATTAAAGCTTTTTCAAATTAGCAGGTGAGTGGTAAGGTGGCCCTGTAGCAAATGCCTTTTGATCGGTCTTGCTGTGGGGAGACGCTCCTCAAATCCAATCGGGATGAAGTCCGGGGGCCCAAGTGCTGCTTTGCTACTGTTGAGTGCATGTGCAGGGTTGCCCACCTCCGATCCTACAATCATAGAAGTGGGAAAAGAATCGTGACTCGATGGACGAAGTATATAAGTTCCAAGAAGACCATTTGTCCACTTCCATGATTCTTGGAGGGAGGTGAGTGCTAACCTGGATCAAATTCTTTCTCCAATACTGTAATTAGCTGCTTTGGACCCAACACATGAACACACCCTGCACATGAAGAAACATTTGATGTACAAGGAGGTTAACAAAGACTGGCTTCATCCCTCGGTTTGCTTTCGGAACCGGGGAAGAAATAAACACACACGCACACAACATATTTCCCAGAAGGCGATTCACCATCTCCGAGAAAATGAACATCGTTCCTTTAACCGTTTAAACCATGTACTCAGGGCGCTGTCAGGCAATTCCAAAAGGGAAACTCAGCAGCCGTATCCACCCTCCCCAAGGACATCTAAGAACCAACACAGGAATAACAATTCATCGCTTGAAGAAACATGATCGTCAAAAAGGCCACACTACACTTCGCTATAGTTTTGAAATGTTTTTGTGCAACTTGTAGGGTTTATGTAACTCCCTTTGTGTTGAAAAAACTGGTTTGGGGCACTCAAATGCTGATTCTTCGCTCTTCTCTTCCTGCTTCTCTTCAGCAGCTCCATCAACGACTTGTTTCAAACAGCTCGACGAGACATGACAAGACATCTGGGTGCTCCACCCGTTTCTCCAACCGCAGATCAAAGAAATGGCACTGGAATAGTTGCCATTCCCTTGGGGTCATTTGCATGGGGTAAGTGTATCATACTGCATGTAACACTGTATGTAACTATTCAATGCATGGATGGTCTGGGAACTGTTCTCCTGCACATCTTTGACACTTAAGCTTCATAGATCGCACATCCCAGGTGATAGCCCTTCCAAGCCTGGCAAACCGTATGCACTTGAAGGTGTCAAACCAGCGTTCCTGTGTCTTCTTGAAGTTCTTCAGTTGTGCCACTCATCCTTTTGATTTCAGGACTGATTCTCACCCATTTCTCACCTCACCCACCTTCCATGCCGCTATCCATCCAATCCCAAACCCTTCTCCGGTCCCAGGCACATCTGGGAGAAACCGTGCAACGACGCCAGCCACTGGGCCGCTTGTGCGCCTGGCCGCCGACGCGAGCGAAACCGTTTCTTGGATTTGATTTAACCACAGGAGAATCCACAATCGCCTTAATAAGCAAAACCAGGGTTTCGTGAGTGGTGTAGGGTGGTCGATCCGGATGGGATGTGTTTCACCGAATGCTGAATGATGTCCAGTTTTGGGGCGCCAGAAATGTCATGGTCCGAAGAAATCAAGGGTCAACTAGGCCTGGGAGATGGCCTTAAAACATGTTGCTGTTTAAATGCTATTATGTGTTATACAAAATATTACAATGTCCCGAGTTGCGGTCCCATTCAGGGATCACACTGCAAGTTCGTTGGTGTACCAGTCCCGTGACACCGACGAGGTTCCACTTCCGCTGACCACTTCGACCTTCCGCTCTTTCGGAGCGGCGTGGAGACGCTCGTCAGTCCGCATCTGCGTCAGTCCGTTGTAGCAACACACTCCATTGGGTTAAATGTGTGTCACTCCTAATATACTTTGTGATTACTATATCGTCCAAATAACTACTTTGCACCATCTACTTGGTACCATCTGCTTAGTCTATTTGTCCAAAGCCCCCTCAGAGGTGCCCCTAGTGCCCCCTTGTCTATCTTTTGATCACGTATTGCTTGCGCAAAACCAACACGCATTTGATGATGATAGTGAGGATGACTATTATAAAACAAACAATAACTGATAATTTCAAAGAAGATTGCTTTACACAAATCATGACACTTCCAAGTTACTTCCAGTGATCGCACATGTCAAGTTGATCCCGCGCCGCCGAACAAACACTTTTTAACTCTCGCGCCTTCCACCTCTGAATCTTGCGAAATTGCTGCTCTCATGGGGTCCATCCTTCGGCACTGATCACCAAATCAGTGTAGATGATTTTCCGGAGGCTTCTGGGCCAAGCCACTTTCTGCAACCCCTGGTTGAAGGTCACGCCAAAACTCACCGTCTGCAAATTGCTAGGCCATGTCATCTGTTCTAAGCTCCTTTGGAAGGCCGTGCCAAAGGCCAAACTCTGGAGGCTGCTGGGCCAAGTCACTTTTCCAAGACGTTGGTTGAAGGCATTTCCAAGGGTCAAACTCTGCAGGCTGCTCGGCCACTCTACTCCGTCCAAGCTCTGGTCAAACTCATGGCCAAAGGTCAAGGTCTCTAGGCTGCTTGGCCAATCCACGTCGTTCAAACTCTGGTTGAACTTGTTGCCAAGCTTCAAAGTCCGAAGCTTGCTAGGCCACAAGAGTGGTGTCAAAGGATGATTAAACGAAGAGCCGAGACGAAGAAGCACCAGGCTCTCAGGCAACGCCACTTGCTCCAAAGGCTGGTTGAAATCGAGGCCAAGCTTGAGGCTTTCAAGTCTGTTGGGCCAATTCACACGCTCCAAAGGCTTGTTGAAAAAGTTCCCAAAAGTCAAATTCCGAAGGTTCTTGGGCAAAGTCACTCCCTCTAAGGTCTGGTTGAAGAAAAAACCGAACGTGACACTTTCCAACTGCTCAGGCCAAGCCACACCTGTCAAACTCTGATTGAACATGTCGCCAAAGGTCAAATTTCGGAGATCAATGGGCCAAGCCACTTGATCTAAAGCCTGATTGAAGTTCTCGCCCAGAACCAACGCCTGAAGGCTGTCAGGCCAAGCCACTCCCTCCAAGGACTGATTAAAACAGCCGCCAATTGTGAGATTCTGAAGGTTCCAGGGCCAATGCACCTGTCCCAAGACTTGAGTCTCCTTGTGGAAGATGAATGTCAATGTGGTGAGGCTGCTTGGCCAAATCACGTGCTCTAAGGGCTGGTAGACATCGCAGGTCAGAGACCGAAGGTTCTTGAGGCAAGTCACTGCCTTCAAATTCTTGCAGGTTGCACATTCCACCTGCTCTGGCCAAGCCACGCCCCTCATACTGTCATGAGCCATGCCTTCCAATTCCAAATTTCGGAGATTCTTCGGCCAAATCACCCGGTCCAATGCCTGACGAAAGAAGTGACCAAGCCGCAAACGTTGTATGCTGTCAGGCCAAGCCACTCCTTCCAAAGACTGATTAAAGCAGGCGCCAAATGTGAGATTCTGAAGGTTCCTTGGCCACACTATGGCCTTGAGAGGCTGGTTGAACTCAAAGCCAAAAGTTAGACTGAGCAGACTGCAGGGCAAATTCTCCAAGCTTTGGTTGAACTTGTCATCAAAGGTTAAGCTCTGTAGGCTGCCAGGCCAAGCCGCTTGATCTAAAGGTTGATTAAACTTGCAGCCAAATCTCAGTGTCCGCAGCTTGCGGGGCCAAACGATTCGATCCAACCTCTGGTTAAAGTCTTGGCCAAACGTCAGGCTGTCGAGGTGCTCCGGCCAAGTGACTTGCGTCAAGTTCCCATTGAAATGCTTGCTGAATGACAAAGCCCGCAAACTACTCGGAAGAGTGATCCTGGAGAGCTGTTCCTGTAGAAGTCCCTTCAGCTCAACGACACCTTGGTGAAGAAAGGAACGATGGCCACACACTACCTACAGGGCTACTGGTCTACTGCGAAGACCCTCCAAGAACGTTTTGTTTAAAGAGGTAAATCCATTCTGTAATGCTTTGGAGGGATCCCGCTGCAGGGCTTATCCTTGTCATCTATTTTGGTCGAAAGTCTTTGTCATTGCTCTGCAGGCTGAACTGAACCATGTCAAAAAAAACACCTGCTTACTAAGACCGAGCTTCCCTCCATTGCCCTTTCACCGTCCCTCACAGGCAAGGCGGCGAGAAGCCGCCAGGCGTCATGCAGGTTCGAGGCTTCGAAGACATAGGACAAGTGCGCAGGTCCAGGTGCAACGTTTCCTTCTTTCAAACCTTGTTCTTTCAGCGTCTTGCCTGAAAGAATCACCTTGGTTTTCAGAGATTGATTGCAACATATTGCAACCAAGAGCAAGGAGCAAGGAATCGAAATTGGCCACTTGAGAGCATGACATGCTTTTGTGACGGGACACAGACGGAGAGTCGAGAAGTGGGTGGGACCGAGATCTGCCTTCGGTGAAAACATGTCAATACAGCCTGTGATAAATCCAACATAGCAAACATCGAGGCTCATCGAGGTTTCCCTTCTTGTCTGTGTGTTCTTTTCCCGTGTGGGGATGAGTCAAGCTCATGTGAAACTCCGCGGAAAATACCACATGACCAGTGTCTGCCTCGGTGGGATGTCCCTATTGAGACTTGGGAATCTTCATCGGTTCTGACGATCCACCAAGACCAGGTTCATCTGCCATGACGTCCGGGCATGGCTAGCCAGCTAGCCCAGTGGATCCACTTGGCACTCTGAGAAGGTGCTTGGAGACACGTTTATTGTAGATTTGGATCCAAGTGCCTTTTGAGAAGGTGGCAGTGGATCCCTAGGGTAGCAAAGGCCTTCCTCAAACATCGTGATCATCTTGGAAACCACCGGCTATACTGGGACAAAGAAACAACCACGACTACAATCACGTCACCCACGTGCACCCACGTCACGGATCCTCTCTGAATGGACACTCGTGCACCACCACCCGCTCTTTCAGGGAAACGATCGGCAATGATCTGGCGCAGCGCATGTCCAGTGAGAGACTCGGGCACCTTGAGCACCTCGGAGCTGAGCATCGGCTCGAGGAAGGGCGGAGAGACGCGCAGGTGGAAAAGATCGGAGTTCCACACTTATACCGAGGCCAACAACCACCCCTTTGGCCAGCGTGATGGTCAAAATGGCCCTAAGGCTCAGGCTCACATCCTCAACAGGTAGGGACAACCCCCCCAAAACCATCCACCCCAACCACCTTCGACTTTGGATATGGGCCAGGAGCCCCAACACAAGCAAACAAACAGGGTCTACATGGTCGAAACATCTGCTGGCCATGTCCCTAGATCGTGCGGATTTCCATGTGGCGACGCAAGAAAAGGCAGCAGCACGTTCCCCAACACGGAAAGAGCCGCAAAAACAGATCCTCCCTGAAACCCGTGTGAACCCAAAAACACTTAGCCGAGGACAAAGTTGTCCAAAGAGGCCATGTTGTACTTGCATGTTTGTTCCCTAGGGATCCAAGTACCTCCTCAGAAGGTACTTGGACCCTCCATACCTACATAACAGTGCCTCCAATCACCGTCTGAGAAGGTACTTGGATCCCTAGGGGTTGGAGGGAGGGTACAAAAACACAGATGTGGGTCCTTGACACTACTAATCTCCTCCCGTCTACATCGCTCAGTGGGCGCTTGCTTGCTGCAGGCCCAAAGATTTGGGTCCTGATTGGCAGCTCAGTTGCTCAGTTGGGACCGATCAACACATATCAATATCAACCATATCTTAAATTCTAATTGATCACCATATCTACATATGTAGACCACTCAACCATATCAACCATATCTACATGCATCTCCCACTCATCCAAACCGTGAAAAAAATCTTCTCCAAGCCACAAATTCTTCTCCATCCAAACCACTCATCCAAAGCTCCATCGGTCCGGTCCCGCTGCGCTCCGGAGCGTTCCGTTTCGCCCGTTCCTGAGCCCCTTGAGACCGCGACCGCGACCGGTGGTGGTGACACGGTGACCTGACTTCAAACGTACCAACAGAGCTTGAAGGACCAAAATTCACACACATACAAACTATACCATAACTCAGAGTCGAGCGAGTTTTGAGGACGCCATCTTGACCGAGCAAAACACCCGGCGAACAACGAAGCACGTGAATGGCACACGCCTGCAGTCAGCGCAGTGCTCATTCCAATCACGGAGCAGCCTCCGCGACGTTCCAACCACGGCAGGCAGCGTCAAGTTGAGGAGTGGTCGAGTCCCAAGCAGGCAGAACAGTATAGACATGTATAGACCAACGCCACACATGGGATCGTAAACAAAGGGATATTTTGGGTCTATCCTATCGCCAGCAACTGTGGATGATGATGGTTAGGTGGCAGGCCTCGTTCAACAATTATGATGCTTGTTTACTGACTGCGACAGGCCAAGAATTAGGACAAACCCAAAGTATAGAACAACGCCACACATGGGATTGTAATGGATTGTAAATATATGACTAGGGATCCAGTCGTACCTTCTCAGGTATGGTGATGTGTTCGACACTGTTGTGTAGGTGCCAGCCAGTCAGGTCCAGTCGTGCTGAACCTGAGGTTCAGTACGAAAACGGAACCCTAATAAATATGGCCTGTATACACTCCCAAAAACTAACATGGAATGGGACCCGGAAAGGCTGTTTACCTCTACAAACCTGTGGTTTTCAGGGTCCATGTTAGTTTTCGACGGTGTATCTAGTCATGGGTTTACATGAGTTTGCCTGGAGAATATAGACCAAGCTTTGGCGTAGACCATGGAGCGTAGACGGCGCGGCGTAGACCATGAATGGAAGCTACGAAGATATTCCATGAGATTCCATTGATGTGAGTATCAGTCGTGGATTAGGAGTATATGTGATGTCCAAGTTGGGTGGTTTATATGGACCTCATCTTGGGGTGCCAGTGCCATCTCTGAAACCACCGTAAGTCAAAGTTTCATCTTTGCATATCTTTGCCACCCTTGACTTCCTTGGTCTGTCTTCGTTCAAGGGGCACAAACCTGCGAAAAGAAGGGCATGTAGCATGACTTCCTGTCCGTGCACACCATGTTTTGGGCCACCTTCTACTTGATGCACCCATGTTTGGAAACAACTGACATCCACTTGACTTTCCAGGTAGTTCACGGTAGCTCCATGGTTTTGGACCCCCATTTCCAGGTTGGACAGCTCGATGCTTGGGGATGAAGCTGAGCACATATGGACCCATTCTGTTGGGGTACAATTTGAGACTCCAGGTGCAAAAGTGTTCATCACATGCTGATCCACATGATATCTGGAGTCTACATGCTTGTCTGCACCCATTGTACATTGACCCACAATTGTACACTCGGACATCATCATGGTGACGCTTTTGGGCATGGGCTTCTTGGGATTGACCTTTGTTTTCTACTTCCGATTCCAAGGAGTGTGCCACACTACCAGGGCCCCCGGATACCACAGGTGTCGACCCTAGACCCTTAGTTCGAAGGGATGAAGTGTCACCGGTCGAGTTCTCTCCAAGTCACCACTGCCGAGAGCGAAGGCCCTGCGCCACAGGGAGGCCAGCCTGACCAAAAACGGGTGACCGGCTCGTGGCTCTGGTGGAAGTGGCCAAAGCCGGAGGCTCTTTCGAGGGAGACAAGCTTGAACACATGCAAACAACTCCAGGAGACAAGCTTGAAAACACCTGTGAAATTTGCGGCTCATGTGGGTGTTTTCACATGCAGAGTTCGGATGAGAGGCACATGTTTCCGTCGGCATCCTTCTTGAGCCCAGTCGCTCGCAGCTCTGGATCATCGAGCCATACATCACCTGAGGCAGCGCGGCAGCATGTGGCAGCTGTTCTCGAAATGCCAGGCATATTTCGAAGGGTGTGTGGAGGATTCTGAGGGCAATAGGACCCCAAAAGCCCGCAGGTTGTTGGTCGATGTGTGCTAAAAAGCCTGCAAACGATTGCAATCTTGCCTTTTGGGTTTGGGGCACAGAATTCGGTTTGAACACCAATTCCTGGTCAGACATTTTTTCACCCCCTCTCCCCCCCCCTCCGCTCCTGAGCCATGCTCCTTGATACTCTCTAAGTCACCCAGAATGGAACCACGAGAATCCCTGCTGCACTCCACCTGTTCGATCTTTTGTTTGAACGGTGAAGCTTCCAGCCGTTGCCAGCACTAGCACTAAGGTTATGCTGGCTCCAGCATCTGTAGTTTCAGCTGTGCTGTTGAAAAATTGTAAAATGGCGTGATCACCAATATTCCACCCACTGACTACAGGAGGCCATGGGGTGTCTAAATCAAAGCCCTTGATGTAGAGATGATTCGGGATGTCCATTCATCACCCAACTCCCGCAGTTCTGCCTCGCTGCGGCGCAAGCGATGCAAGCTCGAGGCCTCGAATGGACTCGTACCGGACTGTTGGACAACTCATCCATGGGACTGGCCTATCAACCGTATGTTGATCAGTTTGGCTGGTCGAAAAGGGATCAATGAGATGCATATATTCCCCCTATAGATAGTCTGGGGAGAAACGGATCTGCTCTGCTTTCAACTTCCACGCCTGACGCATATTTGTCGAATGCATCATCCGCGGTGATTGCGCACGAAAAAAACACTAATAACAAACATCCGACTGACTTGTCCTGTACCACTTGCTCCTTCAACGTCACCAAATGAGCAAAACACAAAGCAATACAACCACCATCCCTAGGGCTCCTGGCCCATAACCTCAGAAGGTGGGCACAAACCATGTTACACCCCCCCGGCACCCACCCAAACCACCTTCACCGAGTTCCGGGGTTCAACTGCATCGAACACGGGGTGCGACATCGCTTTCGGCGTTTGCAGCGGCTCGGCGCTTTCCAGTCTTCCACCGCCCTCATTTGATTCAAGTCGCCAGGCCCGCCGCTAGAGCCCTCCGCCATTGCCCGCTGAGGCACTGGGCGGCGCCTTGGAAAGGAGGGACGGTTTTGGTGGGTGGGTGCATGATCCTGGGAAAGTCTCCTGGTAGGCAAGCTTCCCAGCTTCCCTTATCTGCGGCTGATTTTGGGGTGCCAGTGCAGGACTGTGGTTTGGATGGTTCTTTGGCTCTGCTACTGCTGGGTTGCTACTGGATCAACCCATAGCATTGACCCAGAAAGCGCTGGTCATGTGGAGTCATGTGGTGGATTCTGCTGTGACAAATGCACCCGGCAGGGGGTCGCCATGTTGATGCAGGTCCAGTCATGATGTCAACGAGCTTGGACTTAGGGCAAAAACGCCTCGAAGATTTGGACGTCTTTCCTCCCGGGATGTCTCTAAAACAGAACCTGGATAAGCCCCTCGTTCGTTTGACTGGACTTGATCCTACGGTGTTCTTCCAGGAACAGGTCCAGGTTTGGACCGACAGGGTCCGACCGACCAGGGGTTCCCCATTCCCATCGACGAAAGGGCAACGGGGGGACGTTGGGAAGGTGGATGGAAGCCGCCGACGCACTCCTGACGCGACGAACACTCGTCCAGTCTGACCCAGCAAAAACCAGGTCGGCTTGCTAATGTGTTTTTTGATGTTTTTTGTATAACCAACTCCAGTAAAATGAGGTCATGGACTTGTATAGGGTTAGATTGGGAAAAAAAGACAGGATTTCATCACTCCATCTGTATCCTATTCCCTGGGCCCAGTAGATGAGGATGGGGCCTGGTTGCAGCCGACTTCTCTAAAATCACGATTTGCTTGTTTACCGACTGTTACAGGAAATAGATGGTAATTAATAGGACATCCCCAAGATATCCTCACTCCATCTGACAAAGCACTGGCCAGGCTGAATTCATCCGGCATCAAATTCCAGCGAGGCATCCTTGGGTGGAGGCAAAACTTCCAGCAACATGCGGACAAAACTTACGCACTGACAAAACACTTCTACCGTTCTACCCGCTCGCATGTTACTGTTGAGTCCTTTTAGTTGCCCAATAGAAGACAGCCAATATGGTTTTCATCTCACACACATGTGAAATCCTAGTTTGGGACTGCACATGACATGACATCCTATACACCTCAGATCAAGGACATTCCACTGTCTTTTCTTCTCCTTTGGGTTGCAGGTGAAGACTTGTGCACCACCAACCGAAGGGTCCGATGCTGAAGCGGTGCAAGTCCCGCTAAAGGAGGGGTCCTTTTACACTTTCCGGATGTACTTCCAGCTCCAGCGATCCATCACCACCGTTTCTGTGGGTCGCAGCTGGTCTGCCCACCCTAAGAGCCACCGAATGGGCAGGCACTTCCACACCCAACGTCCTGAACTGCCTGGGCACTGGCGAAGCAAAGACCATGCCCTCTGCCACCCATCGGCACCTCGCTCCGGATCGCGATGGTCGGACTGGAATTGATCGAGCTGCGGATCAGCCTTTTCAGGGTATAGGTATAATATGTCAACCTTATGGAATATCATGGCGTCTTTGGGTAAGCACTAGTCACTAGTCCCTTTCTGAGTTGTTTGTGTGATGTCTGTGCCTTGACATGACCTGGGACACACAGATTTCAGTAAAGATGGTCGATGGCACCCAAAGTATATAATTACACTCCCTCATACAACTATGGCACTGAAAGCCACGCCAACCCCCTCGTGAAGGAAAATGGTCTTCCAGGAAGACTATATGTTCCACATCCATCTTTCTTCTTACTCACACTTCGTCTCACAGAAATGGATGGCCCACCCGCTAGTCCAAACTCCAAACATCCAGTTAGGCAAAAAAAAAATGCAATCCAAAGCTGAGTAAAATGCACTCCAAAGCTGAGTTCTATGCATCGAAGGGTGCAGTTCTCTACCATGTTCTTTTACAGTGTTCTCATGGTCGCAGGTCGCAGGTCGATGTGTTGTCCTGCAGATGGAATCTGCAAGTGGAGGCTGTCCCAGGAACCACATGCTGGGGTGATTGTTCGTCCCATCCAGTGAGTGGATCACGGGGGGGCCCATGGAGCCCCTATCCTCCAAATAGGCACCCCACTTTGTGACTCACCAAACCATGGCGGTTCACCGCTGCACGGTTTCTGCAGCTATCTGCACCTGTGTAGCTTCGAATCCTCAAGATCAACTCCAAAAGGCCTAACCCCCTTAAAACAAAAAAAACCTTGAAAAACAGAAGTAGTTGGTAGTTAGTAATTACAGAGGAAGTGAGGAAGTGCAATCCGGGTACAAAATGATATGGCCACTTGGGCCTCTTGGGCCACTTGGCTCTTCATGGATGAACTTCACGGATGCGGACGACGGTAAGTAAGTAAGTCAGTCAGTAAGTAAGTCAGTAAGTCAGTCAGTGAGTGAGTGAGAGAGTGAGTAAGTAAGTAAGCAAGTAAGCAAGCAAGCAAGCAAGTTAGGAAGTAGTAAGTAGTAAGTACAAGTAGTAAGTAGTAAGTAGTAAATATAAGTAGTAGTAGTAGTAGTAGTAGTAGTAGCAGTAGTAGTAGTAGCAGGAGTAGTAGTAGTAGTAGTAGCAGTAGTAGAGGCTTGGAACAGCGTGGCATGCACGCAGGACGCTCCCTGTCACCCCTAAAGAAAGCCGAACTCTAAGACCAATAATTAATAACATGCAAAACAAAACATAACATGTTCCCTTCCATCAGCCCATTACCCAAACCCCGAGGCCAGGATACTGAGCCCATCAATGGCGCTGCTGCATCCAAAGGTGTCGACGCACATGCGCCTGTGCGTCCCGCACAGCGGGAGAAGACTGCAACAGCCGAGGCGGCCTTTGGGCCGAAAAGGTTTGCTGAAAGACTAACTCGTGTTGCAACATGTGTTGCAACTGGATGCAGAACGCACCCTAGTGTTGTGAAGATGAGGACACTCATGCCAAAAGGTTTGAAAACTCATGCCGTCTGCTACTGACGCAAAAGGCTGTAACGGAGGGTATTTAATATCACCCATCCATTCCCACCTTATATCAAATAATATCAAATATCATTGATGAAGCTTTAACCACCGTCTTTATCCGAATCAAAAGCATTAATTGATAGAAATTCCGACTGGGAATCCAATCCTCCAAGTTCGGCTTTCCCTGCAGATCCGCGGAACTCCTGGGTAGGCCCAAACAGATCGAACCGGTGGTAGCCATGAATGTCACAGAGCCAGCGACACAAGGTCAACTGACTTGGTACCCCCAACAGGGCAGTTGGACCTCATCTACTGGGGGTTCTCATTACAAAAAAAAACTGCTCAATCAGGCTTTCAGGACCAGGTTTGGACCTGGGTCAGGCTGGACCTGTAGGGATAGGGTAGAGATTTGGATTCGAGCCTCCAAAGACACGACAAGAGCAACTGCATTGACCTCTGCCACTGCGCACCTGCCAAGGTTTGTGGAAGTGGTGGACACCACGATTTCGTGACGGTGGGGAACCAAAGATGAGGAAACCCTGGGGCTCTGACCTTTGAAACTGATGTGAACTGGATCCCATCTTTAAATGCTGTGCAAAAAGTTGTTTTACTTAATTTGGTGGAACATAGCAATGCTTGGTAGGCAAATGACATGAAATGACTACAACCATAAAAAAAGAATTGGTTTCCATAATTAGGTGTCCCGCGGGACCACGATTGCTCGCCCGGAGTCGATCTCGTTCTAACCCGCTTGTCAAGAATGGTGTCACAGGGGAATAGAATAGTTCGAATCGCTTTCAGGAACCCTTTTTTGTGCGCCAACATTTGAAGATGCAGGGTGTTGGATGTGGCTTCCAGCCCCATGTGTTTGGCAGCCAATCCACAAAAAAACAAATATCTGCCAACCAACCGAAGCCAGCTGCTGGGTACCCAGTGGCACGAGTGACCGAACCGCATTCTGGGTTGAACTCTAGTTGAACTAGACGATCATCAAGAGTCTACAGTCTACATGATCACTGAACATGTCCCCAATTCATCGGTCAAACACGCCAGTCTGATGGGTCACGTCAAGCTATGTAGAGCTAGTCTGGGAGCTATGTAGAGCTGTGGTTCTGCTTTCAAGAAAAAGGTGATCCACGTGAAGTTCCCCTTCGCGCACCTTTGGCACAGTGGTTGATGCAACCTTAGGATTTGTGGATTCAGCAGCTGAAAGACACATCGACACCCTGGGCCCTGGGCCGACCATCCAAACACTTCTGGTAGTATGGAAGGTCACTGCCCACCCACCGACCATTCGGGACGTTCCACCCCGAAACCAACATCCCATGGAGATGCTGCTACGATTCCCCAAACATCTGGGGATTGATTTGGGAGACAAAATAACATAAAATTTCTACCAGAAAGTTCCAAAGGGGGAGGTCTTTTTCGTCCCCAGGTGTGTGGATGTGATGACCCTCCAAGTGAGTGGACTACGCCCTTTGGAACTGCTGGTCGATCATCGAGTTTCTTTCCCAGGCAACAGTTGCTCGAAATCTCATCCGTGAGCTCCTGACATAACACCAAAATCGTTGTTGCGTTCGGTCGCGTTCGGTCGAGCATGCGTGGAGCTTGGAGCTTGGGACGCTCAGCTCCTGGACTGTGTGAGGAAATGTAACAAGTGAGTGATTGGGATGAAGGGCGGCCCCTAGCTGCATGCCTGTCTTGATATTTGTACCCTGTGCCCTTCTGCCTCACCCAAACAGACTGCGGCTTCAAATCTTCAAGGATCTCCAGTTCTTTTCCACATACCTTCCTTTCACACGCCTTTTGGAGACCATCTCCAACTCTTTCACCCCGGAATTCACCCAACATCCACGTCCTGCAGTCCTGCAGCTCCGCTTGGCGGGCTGCTTCCAGGCTTCGACGCCACAGGCTCGCACCACTCCTGGGCTCCAGGCTATGCAGCGCCGCGTTGGAGGCGATCAGGTCCACCGGCACCGTCCTGTGGGGCCAGCGCAACGGCCGCGTGGCACCGTCGCAACGGCGTCGTGGGACGGTTGAGCTCCAAATACGTCTGGTCGGGTGGATGAAGCTGAAGCAGGTGGACAAGTCCAAAGCGCGAAGCAGGCGCTCAAGTCTGCAAGAGTCCGCTAGTATCATACTTTTTCACCATTGACCTCAGTATCGTCATCAGTTCCTTTTACTGTGTATATATATATATATATATTTGATTCATGTCCATTCTGTTCACCTTCCGTGGGTTTTAAAAACCGGTGAAACATGACTCTCACATGGTGATCGCTCTCTACATTGGGAAACTCGCAGTGTCCAAGAAACTAAGGTAGACTCTTGATCCATAAAACCACCCCATTTGACCCATTTAGATTGCACAAAACCACACAAAACCTCTTCATACTCCTCTTCATATAATATTACATATGGAGGAGGTTATCAAGTAAGATTCAGCATGATCTATCCCAAATTCACTCCTGGCCTACTGTTGTTTCTTTGTGAACAAAATTCTGTCTTGGGGCTGCATGTCCAGTCCTGCGTCATTTCCAACAGCTTCCCCTCCCTACACCTCCAAGTACCTCCTCAGAAGGGTATTTAGACCCTCCAAACCCACCCCGAACACTTCTCAAAGGTACTTGGAGGCCTATAGGGCCTGATTGCTTCTCCATCAATGGGATCTCTTTCTGGTGCCTCCAACTGCCCCAAAAAACCCGAGCGACTCGACCGCCTTCAACTCGGGAGCGACAAGGCTGTCAGCCAAGGCTGTCTACCAAGAAATCCAGGTTTGACTGACTTGGGTGCCACAGGGAAGAGTTACCGATGGGCCTTGGGGGGGATCTGGGGCTGAGAGGGATGAACCGACATGAAGGTTACAACCGTTGATACCAAAAGATGATTAGTGCATGCTTGTGGGCCAACAAGACATCAAGATTCCAGCTTCTAGTCAAGAAAACCAACATCCACCCAAGACTGATCTTTCTTGAGCACTGTTTTCATGACTCTTCCGGCCTTGTCTCCATCCGTTGGACGGCCCCAAAGGCCAAGCGCCAAGCATTGGACTGCGCAAAGGCTCCGCACATCGCGCCCAGGTGAAAGGCATTGGAGCGCAGGCGGCTGGCACAAAGGACCTGGACCACGCGCCGCGACGCGACAACGCGACGCCCTGCGACGCAACGCGACAACCGGTCTTCTGCTCCAGTCGTACCGAACCTCAGGTTCGGTAGCTCCTGGACCCAACGGGTCGGCACCCGGGCCCCGGTCGTCCCACCGAAACGAAACGATACGGTACGACTGGAGCCCAAACGGGAATTGTCATATGAATCTAATTCTATCTATCATCTATCTACCACATCACCGCCCAGGTCCTCTGTTCAAAAGCTCAAAAAAATCGTGCACAGTTAGTTCCCCTATTTTCATGTAGACGCTTGATTCATCAAACAGCAAAACTTGTAAAAGGTGTTACAATCCCATGTCTTGGGGGGAGGTTCTATTAATCAAGAGTGAAGTCCGCTGCCTCGAGTAATTCCCAGGCGGCATCCAGCTCTTTCATCTGCACGCAACTGCGCCGTAGCCGCTGCGTCGCCGCGCGCGCCGTCGCCTGTTTTCCACCGACAAATGGACCGAGAAGAGGGTTCGGAGTTCTGAGAACACACACGAATTGAGAACATGGAAGCTTCGAGCAGCAGTCACGGAGCTTCGGGGTGCTATCCATAGAGCTGTCCGGGGTGTCCAGAATATCCACTCACGAAAAGGGGCTAAACACCACCCGGTCACCACCCCTTTGTGACCCTGATATGCGATTGGTGGCCACTCTATTACCGCAAATAGATTCCGTTCGGCTCGGTCGGCAGCAACTCGAAGATGTGGTGGTTCAAGTACCTGGGCCCGACTTCAAGCACCTTCAAACACCTTCATAACAGGTACTTGATGTGTTCTTTGATATGTTTGTCATGGGTGATGTCAGACTTCAAGCACCTTCAAACATATCAAACATGAGACATGACATGACCCTCTTAAAATGGTAGGACTGCACCCATGGAAATCCGAGGGACGAAGGGGTCGACTCCAGGTATTGGGCACCGGGAGTTCTTCATCTTCCAAAATTCCTCAGGTCTTCTAATTGACCAGCAAACCGTGTCCTGATGGCTTTCCCTGCAAGAACATGACAAATTTTGAGGCCAGCGGCCATGCCTCATCTATGCCACTATAGATGCCACAAGTAGCTTCTCCAGGCTGTCCACTGATCTGTATATTAGTGCCTCCATGCCACCCTGGTTCTCCAACTACCGGGAAGTACTTCGACAGACCTTCTAGGTCAAGTCACCCGAGCCCTGGCAGACCACTGACCGATGCGCTTCAACGCTCATCCGGCAGCACTCGCACCTCATCCATGGCCACGATCGGGCTGCGCTGAAGGCGCAGCTCGCTCGATGGATCAAGGATGCCCTGCGATCGTCTCACCGCTCTTGAGCCGAAGATTACCACACTGCGGAAGATCTCGAGGGTCATTGGGTGACCAGGTGCTTTCTTTGTTCTCTGCAGTGAGTCAGTGAGAGGTATCCAAGTGGTACATTCCAGGCTTATATAAGTGGCCTGAGTTTGCTGGACTCACTTTTTTGCTCTTGTGGTTTTTGAGAATGACTTCGGTTTCTTCAAGCGCCCAAGGCACCAAGAACACCCGAAAGGTCGGCTGAAACAGCTGCGGAAGTTTCCTAGCGAAAGAAGTAGCAGTTGCAAGTCCGTGGAAGCTGATCGTAGAACGCTGTGGATTGAGAGGAGTAGATGGCACAGACCCATCTACTCTGGTGGTTTATATGGACCCCCACCTGTTCAGGAATCTTGGGGTCTGTGCCATCTACTCTGAAACCACTGTAGAAAGAATCTGAGAAGAGTCCTGGAAACTGCAATATATAAAACAGCCTAAACGCACCATCGCCAGGGATTTTTATGTTTGTTGGTTGTCCCAGAAATATGATCTGCAGGATGACGATATTACAGTATTTCTCTCCAGGTCAACCAATGCTACGAGTGCTGACAGCGCCTTGACTCTTTTCCATCGACGCATGGGTCGGTCTTCTTGCGTTTCAGGATGCTTTTCCATCAGTCCGCTGGGCTGAAACCCGGAAAATGATGTTTGCTCAGTTCGTGGTACGCATGTCTGTTCATTTAGCGTTGAATGGTTTCTAGTTTCGGTGAGATTTTCTTATTGGATTCAGAGTAGATAATCCCCCAAAGGTGATTTATATATGGACCCCCATCTAAAAGACATCTTTGGGTTTGCGCCATCTACTCTAAAACCACTTGTCTGTGCTTTTATCCGTTTTATCCAGGTCATCAGCATGATGGTCTTCTTCGGCTGTGCATCCCTAGGGATCCAAGTACCTTCTCAAAAGGTGATTAGAGAGACTGTTATGTGGTTTGGAGGGTCCAGTCGTACGTTCTGAGGTTCGGTACTTGAATCCCTATAGGGCCACATTCATTTCCTCATCGCCCCTCGTTCACCATCTGCTCCTTGATCGCTCCTCGGTCACCATGGAGATGGTCATGGCACCGTTGACTGCGGATTTTGCTAGGAACGAGCAGATTCCTCTGTGTCTGTTCGGGATGTTGTTCCATTGTTTGACTCACAGGCAAATACTACTCCACCAGCACCCTCACTGCCAGGTCACCAATTTTCTTCGACCTCCAACAGGGCCTGATTGCACTATCCTGTTGGAGACCTGTCACGCCTGTCAGGTGCTGGTAGATGTATGGAAGATTTACCTGCATTGACCCCTGAAATCAACCACCCCTGGCCTGATCAGCACATATGCCAGTTCCATCGGTGAGGTGACTTTGAAGGGCAGCCAGCTGCCGGGCGGCCAAACCCAGCTGCCGGGCGGTCTGACCAAGTGGTCTGTCATGGTCATGGTCTGCTCATGGCCAAAATGCATGGCCCCCAAGACTCGGTTACGATGACATGGCCCTGAAGGCTCGGTGGCATGGCCCTGAAGGCTCGGATGCGACATGTTCTGACGTGTTCTGAATACCCACCGTCAGGTGAAAACTCCACTTCTACCCATGAGTATTTCAGGCAGTTTTCAGGCTTGCGTCTCAATTCTGGAGGAGTCGGTGATGTCGGCGAGCGCTCGACCGCATGTAACTCCTGGTACTCCAACTCAATGAAACCAAGAATTGGTGGAAATGGAACAGGAGACTGTGGAAATGGAACAGTCTAGAAATGGAACATAATGGAACAGTACTCCACCTGGACGTCCAATATTTCAGTCTTTTCCTACCCCATAATGGTCGTGCTATTTCCACCATGAATACGCTTAATGGTACGCTGCTATTGAATGGTACCGAATCAACATGGCTTATACATTTAGTTTCCACTGCTTCTCCCCTAGGCCCTAGGGCTCCAACCACCTCCTGAGAAGGTGGTTGGGGTGGGTTGGGGGGTCTAACCACCTTCTCAGGAGGTGGTTGGAGCCCTAGGGCTCCTGCATGGAAAACCACGAAAATGCTCCTAGCCTCCACCGTTCTTGTACCCCCTCCAACGTTCTGCATCAGCCCATCTGCTTCTAGCCGAACACATGCGCCGAATCACTGGTATTAGCTGAGCTTCGACTTGCTTAACGAACCGGTAAACAATCAAACATATTCCGAATATTCCCCCATGCCAGGGGATTCACGCCATCCGGGAAAGTAAAAAATCCACCCGAAAACCACGCAACCAGGTGAGCAATAGGTGAGCCAAGTCACCGTCAGTGAAAGCTCAGCAAGGTCACAAACCATCTGCTCCTCCAACTGTGCTGCCCAGCCTGGGTCCCAGTGCGGCTCGCGAGGGCTCTGCCTGCCAGGCGCACCAGGCCCGCCAGCCCTCCTGGCGACAGAAGCGCGACGCTTAAGGACCCACTCCATGGGTTCAGAGACACCCCATGATACCCCGAATGATCACCTTGAGGTGACCCGTTCGTACCTCAGAAAAGGGCCAGATCTACATCATTGCGTCTTTACTGTTCGGGTCATGTCAAGCTTATCCAAAGGTACTTGAAGTCGGGTTCGGGTACTGATGATATAGAAGGTCTTTGGATCCATTTTGGTAGGAGACCCCGACAGAAGAGGACTAGAGATGACTCAGCTCCATCAGACTGCCCCGCGGAAGTTGGATCACCATGCTGTTGGATCCGCATGTCCCAAAACCGGCGGCTGTTTTTCGACACACTTGAAAACACATTATTAGGCGGTGGGCAATGGATTCCATATGATTGCATCATCCCAAGTAAAAGTGGAACACAAAAAGATGCATGAAACAATATTGAAACCACAACCCAGAATCCCTTCTTAATGTGAACGCTGCGCTTAGCTTGGTTTTCAGGGCTTCAGGGGCCGAGCTCGTTGCCCGAAAACACTTCTTCCTCATCGCACCCACCAGGCTCGCTGCCAAGGTGCTCGCACGCTTCCACCAGGCTGCTGAAGATCACCAAGTCAGGTTTCAAGTCTCCTGAGCACGTCTCCCACGACTTGCTTCGATTGCTGGGGCATGCTGTGAAAAAACTGATTCCAGCCGTCCAAAAAGCCCTTCTTAAAGTCCCGGAAAACAATTGCTTTATCAACATTATCAACTATGTATACCGTCACTACTGTCAGCTGCAACTCTCAGGCAGCTATTGCACTGGAACAGAATGGGTCCTTTGAAGGAGGCACAAATGCCAAAGAAACACACACAAAAGCACTGTGTGTTGTTCTGCAACCATTCGTTTGTATGGTTGTTTGGAAGGGTACATGTATCAAGCAATATATATGACACAAATCCCTCATAAATAAAACGCAGTTACCAGTCTATCCGGTTCAGGCACAAGCTTGCACCAGTCTGCCAAATCTGAAAAATGATCAGTTGGTTTGAAGAACAGAAGTTCCTTGGAAGTTTCTGGGAGGATTTTCTTGGAGGATCTCCTATCTTAGCTCACCTCTTCCAAGCATCTTTCCAGAAGATCTTCGTAGAGCAGGATGGCTTCTGCCCAAGTAGACGCCGACTTGATGCAGGCAGTATAGGCGAAGCAATGGAGCTCAACACCCTGCCGGATCCTGAAAGGTGTTCCATGGAACATGTGCTGAGGAAAATACCTGTTCACAAGAAAGGTCCCTATTTGAGTGTCTGAGTTGAGTATGTTAGACTTGCTAAGTCATTCCTATGCATGCATGGATGTTCATGTTTCGCAACACGAAAACAACATGTGACAGCAAAAGAACTTAGAGGCTTATGATGCGTGGGCATCTGATGAACATATTGTGCCTATCTGCTTTGATGGACAGCTAGTTTTCTTGCAGCGTCTACTATGTTGACTTTGATTAAGGTCAGGAGGACTTGTTGGCGGGTCGTTATAGACGATGCTCTGCCGAAAGAAAAAGAACATCCAACATCTGGATCATCCAATGAGTGTTCAATGGAGATCCCTAAGTAGTGCAGGGTGGTCCAGCCAGGACACCCATTGGATTGTCCTGGTATCAAACTATATACTAGACAGCGCCATGTTGAGGTGAAGTTTTGCGGACCAAGATCATCCAAGATCCAAAACTGGTCTAATTGCATGCACTGTCAGAGTCAACAAAAGGGAAGGGGTTTGCGCCTTATGCATGTTCATACCATCTTATATATCTCATGCCTGCGCGTGGAAGACCCTAAAGAGGCAAATCATCTTGACATCGAATGTCGCACTGCAATCAACTTAGTAAATCAAGCACCGATCAACACCCCTGACATCCCAGAAACACCCGCCACGACCGACTGATCCGATCTACCAGATATACCTCCGACGCCCAGCAGTTTTCACCGCCACGACCGACTGAGGACGGTCCAGTTTGATCCAGGGGTGGAGGTCTTGACTATCTCAGTTGGTTTTGGATGGTATCTCAGGTCTTTTGGTGGGACTGTTTGGTATGGAAGGGTGCCTTATCTCTCAGCTGATTTTGGAAGGGACTGTGCAGTGGTGACGTTCTTTTGCACCAAGGTGCATCTCGTTCAGCCAGTGCTTGGGCGTGAGGTGTCCTCCACAGCTCATGCAGCGGCCAAACATGATGGCCTCAGTATCTTCTCGACGGTTCAGCCATCCTCGGGGTCATCGCCTATAGACCAATTGCTTGGTCAGATGTGTACTCCTATATTCACTCTCACTCACCCAAAAGAATACCAGCTGACTTGAGTGAGCCCGACTGTACTCTTCTTTTGAATCTGATCACCAACCTGCGATGAATATGTCGCAAACTACAGGGGGCGGCCTGTCAGCATAAGAAACACGGTGACGCACGACAATCCCTCTATTTTCAAACGTCCTCAATACTTCTTTCTGCAAAACCTGGAACATCATAACTTACGAACAGCAAATGGGATTGATTCAGAATACGGGCATGCCTAAAAGCTGTCTCGTCCGACCCAGAAATGGATGGTGGCCCCAACCTGCAAGTTTCTACAGGTATCTACTGAGATTCGCCAAGCAATGCCGGCCGCACTTTTCCTACACCCTGGCCTACCAGGGGTGTAGAAGGTCCCTTATCCTCTAAGCGCCGTGGGTCAGGACCCGCATGAGAGCCGGCGTGGGCGGCTCTCCAGAAAGCGGCAAAACATGAACACAGATTTCCCCAGGTTTGGGGATTCACCCACAGACCCTTCATGGCCCTTCTGGCACCTACATAACAGTCTCTCCAATCACCTTACCTGAGAAGGTACGACTGGATCCCTAGGGAGGGAAGAAAGAATAAATAAAATATTAACAAATCACCTGAAGCTTAAAACCAGGATCAACCCGTCCAATGAGCCGAGCCGAGCCTGGCCATTTGAGGCCTCCAACTTCACTCTTCCGGTCCGAGGCTCGTTCGGACGCACTTGCTCGCGCGTGAGATCATGCAAAGCCTGGGACGGTTGGAACGAATGCAAACAGCACGGACCAGAGGGGCGCCGTGCAGGGCCCAGCTCAGGGAGGGGCCCTCCTCCCACAAACAGTTAATTAATTGGTACGTTCCGAACAGCAACAAACGACCTGAATCACACCAAGTGCAAGCTACTGGAACCCTTCCGGATGCATGTGAAAACCGCTTAAGCCGCTTAAGCCTTCTGATCACAACACCAGGTCGATGGAATCGCCACCAAGGTGCTTGGATTGCTGCCTCCCAAGCTCCGCTCGTCTCGAGCGCGTTGAACAGAAGACCGTAGCTCACCTCGTCCTGGGGCTGGAGCTCCTCGTCGCACGCAGAGACACACGCAAAGACACGCGCGCACACACACACACATATGCGAAACCTGAAATCATCCTTTACCCTGAAACAAAGGGATATATTCAAACACAGAAGGGTTGGATAGGGTTGGTATCACACGCGCTGTTTTTATTCACACAAAAGGGTTGGTATCACCCGCGCTGTTCTTTTTGCTCCTCGGTTTTTGTGTGAATCGCCACTTGTACTTTAGGGGGACATGGGTGTTTTCTGTGCATCGGTGTGGAGAACATTAATGGTCAGCACTCGATCAGGTGTGTCAACATTTCAAACAGCTCTTGGACTGAATACTCTACAGGAAGAACCCATGTGTCCTACGCAAGTCATCAAAGCTTTTCCTGTTGCGGCAAAAGGTTCCTTTTGAAGTCTTTGAAAGAACAATTGACACTATGATGGCAAAACTCAAGTTCCATGGGTGCCGTGGCTGTGCTCCATTCCCAAGGCCCAAGGCCTCAATTAGTGTCACTCTTTGGATCGTAAGGCTCCAGGAAAGCGAGTGATTCTGTCAGCATGAAGGAGGGTGTGACAGGGATGACGTGCAAAGAGCTTCTCTTTTGGGAGGGCTTGGTTCACAAACACGTCTGCCATTTTGTGGTCTGCATATACTTCGTAGACCACAAATGATAACTATGACTCAATGACGGTAATGGATGAACTTTCCCTAGGGATCCAAGCACCTTCTCAGGTACGGTGATGTGTTCGACACTGTTATGTAGGTGCCAGCCAGTCGGGTCCAGTCGTACCGAAGCTGAGGTTCGGTATCACTGGATCCCTAGGGTTTCAGGGTCTTACTTTGACTCGAGATGTGTCGACCAAGTCTTCCTTACCATCCCGGTGGCAGACAGGGCCCCGTTCAGACCGACATGTGTTGGTCCAAAAGCCTAGGCCCAATCCCAGCTGCTTCCAGGCCCGTTCGGGGTCACCAGCTGGAGCGGCTGGAGATCTCCACACTGCTTTTCCAGGACAGGACACCCAAACAGGGTAGATGCGTTCGGTAGTTGTGGTCCTTTCCGAGACTTTGGAGGCCAAGCTTCTAGCCGCAGGTGACGCGAGACGTGTGAATGCGGGTCACACGAACTCGTCGAGGAACTCGTCGCGGTCGCGAGGAGGTGGAAGGCCTGTGGCCAGACCTTGCTCGTCGCATGGAAGATGGTCAAGAAACGATGAAGTGCTCCATAAGACTGGAACATTGACCGCCCCAATTGATGCCCCTTGTTCCCCTTTTCACCCACCCCAACGGACGAATGTTCTTCGTCCAAACGATGCCAGCCTTACACAGGTCATGTCTGAAAAACACTTCCAGGACTCCAAGGACCATCTATTAGCTGCTTTTAAGGGGTTACCTGTCTGGACAACCCCACACTGCTTAGACAGGTCACCAGACTGGACACCTAGACAGGGTGTCTGCGCGTTCGGTAGATGGGCTTCTTCACGGCACCGAGTTCGGTCGTGCCGCTGAGAGTCGAAGGACCCGTTCGGCTTCGGCTTCGGAAGGTTGCGATCTGACTGGAACGACCCGGGATCTGTCGGGGTCATGACTGGAACGACCCAGGCGCAAAACCTTTCTCTCTGAGACCTTTTTGCGGCCGGCCGAACTGCTAGCAGTGCGAGAAAGAGTCTTGTTCGAGCTACGTATCCCAACAGCATCCCGCAAGATTGAACTCGAACCCCAAACAACCATATGCCCTATGGATCCACTGCCACCTTCTCAGAAGGCAATTGGACCCTCCTGGCGCCTACATAAATAGTCTCCGTCCTCACCTTCTCAGGTTCGGTATGTGGATCCATAGGGATATGGACTATATAGTAATACTACTTGGACCCACAAGGAGTGGTTAATGGACACCCCTTCACCTCTAAGGGGCTATCAATAGACACCCCTTAGGGTGTCCTGGTACATGTCACTTACCCTACGAACCATCAACCCTCAAAGTTGAAGCTTTTCAGGAGCTGTTTGTCCTGGGCCCTCCACTGACAATCCAATTGGGAGGCTTAAATGAAGCAAAGGGGGAGAGGAGGCTTCGCAAAGTGATGAGCAGCTTTTTGACTGTTCCGTTTCTTATTTTTTCTACCATCCTAAAAAGACCTTAAAGAAGCTGAAGTAGATCCCTGCCTAGGCCCCCAAAGAAAGTCACCACAGTCCAAGCTGCCTCCAAACAAGCATCCAGGCAGGCATCCAAGGCCAGCTTCGTTGGCCCAAACAGTTGCGACAAGTCCCCGAAGAGTTCGAGTGCTTCGGCCCTCAAAACAGCTGCCGAGTCTCATATCCGGATGCAGGTCTCACACCACTGGGGTGGGTAAATTTGAGAGACCTTCCGGCCCAGGCCACGAAGCCCTGGAAGGTTTGGGAAGAAGACCCGTCTTCCTAGCCAGGGCCCAAAGGTCTGCCTGTAAAAAATAACTATATATATATAATTCCCTATGGATCCACTGCCACCTTCTCAGAAGGCAATTGAACCCTCCTGGCGCCTACATAAATAGTCTCCGTCCTCACCTTCTCAGGTTCGGTATGTGGATCCATAGGGATTACACATCGCATCACTTTGTTTCTGGAAGAACGACACACTCACACAGTATTCACACCGAAGAGGCTAGGAATAATGACGTTCAATTCATTTGGGTGGTGACGTTGCTCATGATAGTTCTTCTTCCATCAAAGAGTTAGTTACTAAATACGGAACTAACTAACTCGATCTATGGAACTATAGATCAGATAAATAACTTACTCCACGTTACCATGTGGATCCACTGAATTACCGGAGGTGATTCATGGAGGTCCAAGTCCCTTCTGAGCAGGTGGCAGTGGATCCCTAGAGTATACCCCAACATTGGATGTTTATAGATGCTCAAGCACATTGAAACCCAACATCTAGAGAGGTCATCACGCTGAGATTCACCGGCATTGGAATCTCTCGCAACATCATTTAAGTTATGTCAATGGGTGAGAAATGCAAAGTGGAGCGAGAGTGTTCCTGGGTCTGAGCGAGCAATTACATCTCACATGATGAGCTAATTGATGCTAATTTCCAACTTCATGTGATGATGTGGTGTCATTGGACTCTGAATGACTTCGACTTGGGGCAGACTTGACGGGTCAGTGCAGCCAGGTCCACCCCCAACCGAGCTCGGGGACCGCTTGCAGACTGGAGCCAAGCAGCCAGCGTCTGGCCGCAGCACACACCTGGCATCTGGAGGCGGCACATAAAGGCGGCGCTGGAGGCGGCGGCGCGTTTTGGGAGAGTTGGTTGGGTGGAGAGTACCACTCTCTGAAGTAGTTTGATTGGAGGCTGGAGGATGGGTTTTCCACTCAAAATCCAGGTGGAAATGATCATAGAAGCGGACGGATGTTCTTCCTTGTTTGGTCTTCGAATTTCATGATCCGGTTTGCCGGGGCCATGACATCCACGTTGGCCCATGATGATTAACAAGAAACTCTTTCCCAAACACGACCTGTCTGGGACTGCCAGGACGGACTGCCGCCCCAGACAGACCCGGACTTCAACCACCCCTGGCCGGTCAATCGGCAGTCCTATGGTAGTCCCAGACAGGTCGTGTCTGGGAGATGCAATAAAACTCAATCATCACTCCAAAGCATGCTGCACACCACTGATCCCAATCAAAGAGTTGGTTTTGATTGGACGATGAAGTGCGCTGTGTCAAGCTAAATCACCACCCCTTCCAGCTCTCCAGCTCAGCACTCCACTTCCACCACTCTAGGATCAGCTTCAAAAAAACAGCTTTTGAACACCACCCCTTTTCACCGGAAGCATTGAGTGACCTGCACCGCGCTGTTGAAGCAAACCGCATCCAACGTCTTCAGCTCTTCCCTCGTGCGGCCGCGCATGCGGCCGCCGTGACCACTCCGGGCCGCAGCGAGCAGTGCCAGTGCCACGTGCCACAGACTCTGCGCTTCCTGGGTTTGAGAACAAAGCCATCACTGAACCGGAGTTTGGAGAGGGTTAATTATTGGAGCATGAGCACTCCAAGTGTAGTGCAAGATCATGTTGCATGGGACAAGACATGGAACTCACAACTTACATGTGCACTTACATGCAACAAAAATAACAAGATCCTCTCTGGACCGTCATATCAACGCCTTGAACGTCATATGAACAAGACGCAAGGACTCTGCCAGCAGTGTCGTGCGAAAACTTGACAGGTGTACATGTTCCCCTGCTGTAGGTCTCCAAGAAACATCCAACTACCATGCATGTGCTGCATGTGTGTTCTACCATGTGGAGAAACATCATACCCTGGATGGAAAAATCCGTCCAAGAAGTGGAGGTCAAACCCATAAACCCAATCTGCAAAAACACTGCCGAGACCGGTCCGGTGACGGACACCCAAGTTTCCAGGGCTGCCATCGCAGCGCTGAAGCTCACAGCATCAGCAACGACCGAAGTTCTCATCTCTTCCAGCAAGCAAAGGCTCAGCTGCCACTCATCGCCTGTGCTTCGGTCACAGAAGGTCAGAAGGTATAGCGTCACATGAGAGAAAGACCTTCCTGGATTCTTTTTCCCCCTGGCCTGTGGCACGGGAAAATACGAAGAAGCCCTACCCCAGAGATCCAAGTACCTTCTCAGGTGGCTGTGGAGGGTCCAAGTGCCTTCTGAGAAGGCACTTGGATCCCTAGGGCTAGGGATCCAAGTAATGACCGAACCTCAGGTACAATGATGTGAGACCGACACTGTTACGTGTCAGCCAGTGGTCCAGGTCGTAGCGAACCTGGTCGGTCAGGTACGACAACGGATCCATATGGAAGGTCACTCTGCACGGCTTCCGTCGAGAAACGAAGTCCACCGGGGTTCGCATTTCTCGAGATGTCAGGTGCCCCCCATTCTTGGCAGGTTCTGCGGGTTTTGGGGAGTTCTCTTGCAAGATTGTGCCCAACATGTCAAGATGTTTTCAACTTATTGTACAGTTGTCTGGAGTGCCTGGGTAGGTGTTGTCAAAGGCCCTGCAGGTCATGCCGCTTTCCTGGGTAGGCCGCAGAGTTCCTCATGTCTCATCATAGATGGAACGGATGGTGAACCGGAAGCGTGAGACCCAATAGCTTGAACAGGGACTAGGACATGGATTCGCAAAGATGGTGGAATGCCGGAATGGGCGTGAGTGAAAAATCTTCGGCAAACCCATAGTCTTGGGGTTGAAAACACGGGTTTCCTGTAGATTGATATTCCCTTAAACCACTTCATTGGTGGTAACATGTCCTCAAGGAAACCACCGCTGAGTTGGCAAGCCCAAATGAAAGTTCCATGTTTCTCTGTTTCAATGTGGCACAGGACTAGGTCCATTCAAAAAATAGAGTACACACGGATCCTCCAAATATCTGGAAATGAATGTATGGAAATGTATGGAAGACCTCCAACCCAAGTGTTGCTAGCTTCTCAAGTAGCATCTCTGGTCAACTCCCTCTTCAGCCGCCTGAAGCGCATGCAGAGATGACCGCATTGAAGCTGTTCCTGAGCCAAACTGAGGCGTTGGACATTCACCGAACTGCTTTGGGATCACCTTCTATCAGACATGAACCCAAGACATGAGCCAAATGTTGGATGAGAACTTCGGCCTCGAAAAAACACCTATCCGATAGATCCTCTGCTGAGGGGCTTTTAACTTTAGCGGTTCAGGTAAAATACATAGAATGTATATATATATATATATGCTCAAACATGTAGAAGCAATCTTTCTCTCTTTCGCAACGGACTCTTCGAAAATGACAAACTGGCAAGTCAAATGAAGAAGCAGGAGCTACCCACCTGCCAAAGGTACACGAGTAGAAACCACCGCACCAACCAACCAACACCGTCTAGCGGCAAGTCGGCGTGTTCACCCTGCGTTGAGAATGGAGAGCCGAGGACCACCGGATTCCCTCAAGCCGAAGGTTTGGTGGAACGCCCCCTAGAGAGACGCACGGAGCATTCCCTACAAGTCAAAGACCTCATTTTACTGGGGGATGGTCATACAAAGACCAATACTTAAGGAAGTAAAAGACCAGATTTGACTGAAGGAAAACTAACAATCTTCCCGGAAACCATGTTCAGGGTCCATGTTCGTTTTTGGGAGGGTGGTCAATGGGTTGAAAATACACGTACCCAAACTGTCCACCGGTGGGATGTTGAGTGGGGTGTCACCAATCCTCCAATCAAAGGTTTTTCAGGTGATCCCATTTTTCTTGAGTAGGGAACCTGTTCAGGAAAACTCATGGACCTGTGAACCACTGCCCTGGCACATGTCAGTTCCCCCTTCTGCGCCAGCACAAGTCACAAGGGGTATTATAGATCTTCACTACCCAAGACCCCAATAGACTACCTCTATCCAGCCCCCAGCCTGTCTCTCCACAGGGGACACTGAGCCGAATAGAAGGCAACCAAAAACACAACGGGACCCCGTGCAATAAAGAGTCCACGTGCACCTAGTGACCCTCTAGCGCCAAAGAACAGCAAAGCATATTTAATGTAAACATCACATGATAATTTAGATGGATCATATATATCTTGCTCACTGTTGCTCGTCAAACATGGCTTTGGAAAAAAAAACAAAACAAAACACTGTGGCGCTACAGTCTTTCGCCGGCCACTGCCGGTCTCATGACCCGGACGAAAGACACGCACCGCCGCATGGTCATGGGGCCATGGGTGTGATCTATGTACGGTGCGTGCTGTCTTCCTTCCATCAACCACTAACCCGACTAAGCCAAGTAGTTTAAGCCCTAGAGCTATACATACCACGTATATAAATCATATCTAATCATAATCATATCAGAAAGGAGCGCTCTGAGCGGCGCGTTTTTGCATTGTTTCATTTCGTTTGTATTTTGTTTCTATATTTGTATTGTGTTTCTATTGATTTTTGTGCCACTGAAAGAATCCTATTCTGCCTCAACCCCCCCCTCCCCCAAAGGCAATTTCCAAAATTTCAATTAAAAAAAACAAAAACAAAACAATTGTGCCAGGACTTTGCCTCACCCCCTCTTCCCCCCATGGTCTGTGCAGAATTGTTGTTTTTTTCTTTTGTTTTTTTTTTGGAATTTTTGGAAGATTGGAATTTTGGATTTTTGATGTCCTGGGATATTTTAAATTTTCAATTTCCTTGGAAGTATACAATACTCCCACTTTCCCTCAATTCCAGAACAGTCTCTGAAATCAAATGACAAAAAACCTCAGTGATTTGCTCATTAGGGTCTAATAATGCTCCTTCTGCTCCTTTAACTCTAAAAATTGGTAATACCTGACATTTTAGAATTATAGCCAGTAAAATTGACATCTGCCATCTTTTCAAATGACATACCAACAATGAATTTGTTCTCTCTGTATTGACGATATGAAAAACTTAAACTGTCTTGATCTGGGTTCATGTAATGTATAGCTCTTCTTAAATAGTAAAAGGTTTCTGATAATGATTGCACTTCAAATTCTGGATATTTCTGGGAATTGTTTAATTGAATTTGCCAACTTAAACTACGGGTGGCATCTTGAAAACCTTTACCTTGTAAGTCATTTGTATCAGCATTACCAGTATCATTAATTCTTCCATAGATCATAGGATTGTAAAAATAATTCCATCTCTTATATACATAATTGTCAGGTAAGTATCGGTTCAAATCTTCACCACTTCTTGGAATTCTAAATAAGGTAATGAATGCTCCAGTCAGTTTAGAAGATGATTTTACAATATTCATATTGATTTCACCACCACCAGCATTGAATGTGTGGGTGACTGTGTGATAACAATTTGTAATGTTTCTTATCTTTGCCATTCCGCCCCCTTCTATGTCCTGCCATTCTGACTCTCAATGGCTGACAAGTAGCACCAATATAGACATCGTCAGTTTTGTCATTTAGTATTCTGTAAATTTTTGCCTTGGAGTAATCCACCATAATATTACATATGTTAATTAAGTTTAAATGTGTTTTTCAAAATGAGTGATTAGGGTTAAATCCATTGCTTATATTGGTGCCGGGATTTATGTTCCAAAGGCCGTTCCCTTCAAAATTGATATAGCTGTGGCTCATTAAAGGGTTAGGTTCTTTCAAATCAGAAGTTACAGCGTAAGCATCCAAAGTTGAAACAATATCGGATGGATTGCGGTAGTCAAGTCTTTTGGTTTTTTTCCCCCTTTCCTTTGTGTTTTTATTGTAGGGGTAGCATAGGTTGTTGTAGCAAATCTATTAGGTTGTTCTTGATTGATCTTATTACAGCACTTGCAAGGCTATGTCCAACCAAACGGGTTATTTCTGCTGACTTTTCCAATGCTTCTATAACATGTTTGTATTTTTCACTGTGATGAACATTTCTAGTAGGTACTAATAACAAATCATCCATAATATCCCTTGTTAAAGATCCATCACGACCACCTGTGCCACTTATGTTTTGTAAAATCCACTTGGTGATGAATAGGCATTCCATAAGCCCCTGCGGTCTTCTATTTTCTCCTTGTTTGCTACATTTTTTCTTCAGCATATAGTGTTCTATGTTGTTTAAAGTGATCATTTAAGTTTCTTGTAAAGTCATTCATTCTATCATTCCAGTTTTGGTTCTTTTTTCATAATCACTGTAGGATTCTTGACCGATCTTACTGATTAACATCTGGGCGCTTCCAGGCAGATCCTTCCAGGCAATGTCAGACACATCAATCATTCTCAAGAAAACGCATGGAAAAGGTTGAACAATGTTCATTTTCATCGAAAAACGTGCCGCTCACAGCGCTCCCCTCTCAATCATATATATATATATATGTAGTGCCAGTGCAGTGCCACCGACACCCCGTCCCCCACCTCTTTGCACCCAAGTCACCTGCTCGGCTGCAGCGATGCCCTGGTCAACGCCCGGAGCAGGTCGCAGGCGCTGGACCAAACGAGGTGGCCCGTGCTGGAGCGAATGGCCTCGCTGTCCGGTCATCACCGGTGCAAAGCATCAAAAAGTGGAAGATGTCCCAAACACAAATTATATTTATATACATATATATATATAGTTAACACTATGTATAGTGATTTATAATCACGATGTATCTGATTAAAAAAAATATGACATGCTGAATCATCAGAAAATGTATGTGATTTACGCAGAAAATCCTCTACCCTTTGCTGAAGGGTGGGGGGGGTCCAAAAACGCAGAAAATCCTCTGGACTGGAGGGGGGCCCGAAGACTGGAGGGCGTCGAAGGGGTCGAACCGGGCTGTGATGGGTCGAACCGGTCTGGGAAGAGGAGAGAGGACGCTTCGCTTCTAGTGATGGGTGATGGGTTTCATCAGAATGTTGGGGTTTGATGGATCTCAAAAGCTCTCTGGGATGGAGGTCATATATAACCTCTACACCTCCAAGTGCCCTCCTCATAAGGAATGACTGGACCCTCTAAACCCACCCCAACCACCTTCTTAGAAGGTACTCGGAGCCCTAGGGTATATAATTCAAGATCAAACAAGCCACTGCTTGATTGAACAGAATTGTCAAAGGGAGGACTTTAAGGACTTGTCATTGTTTGACGGATAGAAACGGCACGGAACTACGTCAACCACAAAGCTACAGTGGTCTCAGAGTCGATAGATACAGGGGTCAATCTGTTTCATGACACCTCTGAAAGACCTTTTTCTTCACTGGATGCAAAGGACGGGTGTCCGAACATCCCTGAGCGGGAGCGGGAAAAGCTCTCCACAGCCCAGCCCACAAGGCAGGGGCTGCAGCCATTGAAGACGAAAGCCTCGTTGAATTCGAGTTGCTGATGCTGTTCAAGATCAACTGAAAAGATTTCCCACATCGCTCATTCCAGCGACCGATCCTTCATTTCCGGAATCTTATCTGTCTCATCTCCGGAATCGCCACTATCCTTCTTTTTGACCTTGAAGGAATACGAACCGTCTTCAATCTTCGCAATGATTGAGAGAGCCATACGTGACTGAAGAGATTTTCCTGTCACTCCTGCCACGGCATCGCTGTCATTGGGAGCCAAACGCAGCATAGCGTCAATGATAGGCATGGGAAAACTTTGTTGCTTCAACATCTTGGCCAACGCTTTTGTTGGTTCTGTAGCGGGATATGACTGCCCGCCTGTGCTGTTCCTTTTCTTGAACTTCTCGATCAAGGCCGTAGTGTCTTGCTCAACAACTTCCTCGAGGTCGGGGAAGAGATAACGTTCCAAAGTGTTGTTGGCACGGACTTCTTTGAATCGCTTTTCAAAGTTCTCGATCCTTGTTTTCAAGGAATCAGGTACTTCCCCATCCTCAGACAGAAGTGCAGAGTGGAACTGGATGTCATCGTCCAGTTTCTTTTCCAGTAAGATCGTACTTCTCAACCTTGACCTTCTTCAAGGGCTGGTTCAAACTTTTTTCTTGAGCCTGGATCTCAGCATCTGCTGCGTACTTGACCGCGGCTTGTGAGGTTTGCCACCAAATCTTGAAAAGCGCTTTGGGTCCGTCTTCAATTTGGAGACAGCTGTCTCAATACTGTCCTTGTCCAAACTGACATGGGATTCCTCAGAAATCTTGCTGAGTTGTCCCAAGATTTCATCTTGAGAAGTCTTGCCAAACTCTTCCTGGGTGTAGACCTTGAAGTTCACTGCAAATCGAGATTTGATCGATTTGACAATTTCATCCTTTTCCTTCTCAGTGAGGGATTTTTGACTTGCACCTGTTGCAGCCGATTGGACAATCCGGATCGAATCCGTGACAATTCTTACTGCAATGTGTCCTGGAATTGCAGCATAGCGAAACAATGTAATCACCGAACTTGTGGAGATCCTTGGCGTAGCAAATTGCTTGCGTACCCATGGGTGCCAGCAAATTTTCGGTTGTTCTGTGCCAATCCATTTTCTGACTTGGATAGGTCTTTGTGAATCCAACCTGAGCTGGGTCAATGATCTTGAGACTCTTAAAAGCAGAGTCCACTTTCTGAGGATCCACGTAACACTTTTGCGTGAACTCAAGGAGTTCCTTGTCCACAAGGAATGGATGCGGGTGATTGACTGAGAGGCCAAGAATCACCTTCACCAACTGCTCCAAGCGGAGATAAACACTTCCAGCGCCTGTAGGCCAGTTGATGTTCTTCCTTGCATAATATGCAAGGTCTGGAATTGCTGTGTCATCGGCAATCAATGGGATGCGTCTTTGGTCAAAGCCCAGTAGCGTTCTGGTTCGAAGTCGACGAAGTCATCTTCGGTAAGTCCCGTCATAGCAATGACATTGGATGTGCTGAACACTGCCTTGAATAAGGCAAGAGCATTGCCACCGAGCATCTCGAATACTCGGAAAGAATCTGGAGAAGTCCAGAGTTCCCAAAGTTTGCCATCCAGACCTTGTCCTGGATTCAATCCTGCCAAATATGCCCTCATGGATTGAGTTTTGTTGACGTCGATCTTGGTGGTCGACATGAGTTGCGCGAAACGACTCTGGATGTTCATGGTCCTGACTGCCCATTCAACGAAGTTCTGGAATTTCCCAGAGACTAGCCCCTCAAGAAAGCCTGAGAAATTATTGACCATTCGATCAAGGTCAAGCACCAGAAGTTCACGAGCTGAAAAACCATTACCAATCAAAGTAACTCCCAGTAGAACACGCTCCCTCCCTTACTCGGCGATGATCACGTCGGGTCTTAAACGTTCTTCGTTCGGCGAAGTGGTCGGAGACCAAGACACCGCGTTCTGGCAAATGACGTCCGGCTGCAACGCCTCCACCGTATGATGCGCGCGCGTTCAGCATATGGGGGGTCTCCCTGGAGGTCTTGAAGCCCAATGGCGGATCTGTACCAGCACCTTCCAACAGATGGTTTTTTGGACACTTCGACTCACCTCCAAGAGGCTATTTACAAACACCTCAAACGGAGGGTCCTGGTATAGGTATGGAAGGTCCTGGAATAAAAAAGGGTTGTACCAGCACCCCTCCATAGGTCGCCAACCGGGTTTTAGACTCTATAAGAGGTCTCAATTGGTGACCTGTTGGAGGGTGCTGGTGTAGAAATATGTATTGTATTGTATTGTAATTTTGTTGGAATTGTCCATTTCTTGAAACTTGTGAACCACTTGCTTCGACCCACCCGCTGAGTTGATGAGCACTCGGACCATCCTCTTGTTCTTGGTCCCCAAACCTTGTTGATCATTTGGAACACCTGGTGGCACTGATGGGCTGGTAAATTTTTAGTTGATCCGAAACACCGGGCTTGGCCAAGCTGATTCCAAGCTGTTCTTGGCACTGATGGCAAACTCACGAAGCACTCGAAACACCGAGGACGCCGCCTGCAAAGGCATCGCTCCTAATAGCCGATGAGCTCCTCTCCACCGGCTGCCCTTCTCCAGGGCGCTCAACGTCGCGCTCACCGTCACGACGTCTGCCTCGACGTGGAAATTTGGGTCGACTTGGAAGGTCTGGTTGCATTGAAGGACCAAAACTCCATCTGAAAACTAAAGAAATACACATTTCATCAGGGTCATCCTGTCTGGGTGTCCAATAGACTACCCCACCCTACTTACAGGTCTCCAGACAGGGCACCCGTTGTTTTCGTGCTAGGTATGTATCAAACACGCCAAAAATACCAGGCACTTTGGGAACTGCCCAGGTCGGCCTTCCCCCCACCTCGGTTGCCGAAGTGAGCATCGGGCTGTCGGGCTGCATCCAAACGACTTCTCAATTTAGACCATTTCGGAGAAATTCCAAGATTTCTTCGCCAGATTCCCCAAGAATGCCCAACACTTCTCATTCACTAGCTGCTAGCGAACGTAGCTAGATTCCCCAACTCAAAAAAATGGACCAATCGATGATAATCAATGGGTAAAACCCTGACAGCCACTCTGACTTTTGCAATGCAAGGAACCAAATTACATATCGACTTCGCTCTATTCTGTGTTTGTGTTCCGTCGAACCACTGACCGGTGCTCGGTCGCCTGGATCCCGACGGTTCCCATGGACACCATCAGCAGCAGGGCCCAGGACCACTCCTGTGGTGAACGTCCACGGCTTTCAAGCGGTGCCACCCCGGTGTTCAGAGCGAGCGGGTTCCAAGAGACCCTATGGATCCACATACCTTCTCAGAAGGTACGACTGGACCCTCCTGGCACCCACAAAAATAGTCTCCAAATACCTTCTGAGGAGGTACTTGGATCCATAGGGAGAGGTTAAGTGACCTGAACTAGGACCTTACTGGGGTACCGAACTGGGATAGGCTAGTTCGGGTCCTTCAACCTCTGTTGGTTTGGCACCCGAATCGGATCCACGTCTTTTGGTGAGAAGAGACATGTGAATTTTGATGGGCGCCAGGAGGGTCAACGAACTTCTGAGAAGGTGGCAGTGGAGTTCTAGGAAAATACGTCTTCTTCAATCGGCGCTGGGTTTAGTTCTGAGATGTTTGGAAAAAAAGTGTAAAAATGGTCCAAAGGATGATTGATCTGGACCATGCAATGCAAACGACTCTGAGCAAGTTCATCGTGTTCACCACTCTGACGCCACTCTGAGCCATGTTACCCTTCATCCGCGGGTGAAGAACAAGGTCAAGCTGAGATTGGCATTCCAAGAGCGGAACGTCTCTGGATCTGTTCCCAAACACTCCATGTATGGAACATTTGCCTACATTAAATTCATTAGGGTGCTTGAAAAAGTGCCAATGAGGCGGCATATTATTCCATGGAGTGTCTGGGGGAGGGTCCAGCAAGACTGGAATGATTCTGTTCGTCAGATGCTCTTAAAACCGAAGACTTCTCCTTCAAAGTCGTCCTTTTGCCTGGTTCTTTTGGACATCGATCCATTTTGACTTTGGGATTCACCCCACCAGGTGTTGCAGCTGAAGATGGACAATGTCCTTCCGGTTTCCCCACCCCCCCGGCCGCCTGGGACTTCTCACATGCGCTCAATGCCGCGTTGTAACTGATCGTGTTCGGCTGCACCTCCGATCTCGACAGGACGAGGTCGCAGGTTCGGCGCGTCGAAACCCTTCGAATTGTAGGAGGAGAGAGTCTCATAATGTAGACTCTTGATTATGAAGAGGTGTTTTAATTCAATTGGAGGGGGTTATTAGTCAAGAGTCTACAGTCTACATTAGCTGAAACTATGGAACCATATGGAACCTACAAACCGTGTGAATTAAAAGAATATGATCCAGCACCACGCAGTTCGGGTGGTTGATAGACACCCCCCCTGACGAGGTCATACAATAAACATCCTTTTACACCTGTTGACCCTCATCCTTCCAAGGACCATGCATGACCATGCCATAAACTTAACCCAACACATGCAAATGAACATCCAACACCAAGGAGATAACTCGGGTCTATCTATATTGGATGATGATGGTTAGGTGGCAGGCCTTGTTCAAAAATAGTGATTTGCGTGTTTACTGACTGTTACAGGTCAGTTCGGATAGACCCAAGGGATAGTGACATTCTTTGGGTCCAAACATGTCCAACGTGAACCTTGTGCCCCTCTTCCAGTTTGCAAGTGTTCTCTCGTATCCAGTTCTCTCTGACCAGGTCAGTAGATCGATTTGTTTAAACTGTTCGCAGTCTTTCGTGCCAAGAAACCACCATGCACCTCCTAGTTCGCCATCTTTTACCACAACCGTCGTTTTTTGCTACACATATTTTCGTCAAAAACCGTCCCTCGCGACGTCGTTCCATGTTGTCGGGTGGCTTGCTTCGACCCTTCGACCAAGTAGATGTTCTGGGCACCCGAAAACCCCAACAAAAACATACAGTAAATTAATGAAAACAACAACAACTACTACTACTACAACAACAACTACAACTCCTATCAGTCACTGTCACTGTAGTTAATGGATGTTCATAGAACATCTGCACCTACCACATGCCCCCCGCAAACCTATAGATCTTCTTTTGGCCCTCCAGCTCCAACACACCAAAACCGTGTAGGATATGCAAATGCCAGGGGATCTGAAGAGCTCCAGGCCTCCTGTCGTTCCATCTCCGAGAGGCATTGAAACGCAATCAGCCATTCCTTACTGCGGACCGTTGAAACCACCCACCCACCCAACCAACCAACCAGCCAGCCAGCCAACGAAAACATCAACATTCCTGGAAGATCGAGCCAGCCATTTCTGTGCGTCAAAAACAGCAACAAACGGCGCCCCAAACTCCTGGGGTCGGGCCATGACCCACACCCATCAGTCTGATGGGTCATGGCTTACTTAACCTATAGGTGATGTGGCTGTGGGTCCAAAAGAGATCGAGCCCCAAACCCTGGGTTGACGTCCCTCTTAGGGGAATCTGTTCATTTGATCCGCGGTCAAGCAGGGTTGGGGGGTTTTGACCCACAGTCATGTGTTGGGAACGATGTTAGGTTTCCCATTTTTTGGAGGCACTCGAAACAGGGTGTTCCGAACTCACCCCCAAGGTTGTGACTTGAAGTGGTCATGCATTCGCATGCCACATTCTTTAGGCCTTTATCGCCCACCTATAATGGTAAAAACTCTTCCTGGACCCGACTGTGACTTCAAGTACCTTGGAAAATGAGACATGACCCGAACATCAAACAGGTATAATAATTATAATATAGCTTGTACCATCTTGTACCCATTTTCCCAGGTACAAAACGGTTTGTCTCCAGGTTGTGGTGCGGATGAGCCCCGCAGTTGCCCCACGAGCGACACAAGTCCAAGCGACACTCGCCCGCTCCATGGCACTCATCACCTCGGGTGTGGCTCGCGGCATGGAAAGCAGCTTGGACACAGGGCAGGGCGAGGATGTTTGTTGCGGCAAATCAATAGCGCGCATCCTTACAGGTCATGGGCTCTATTTGAGAGCACCAGCAGCATACTGCGACTTTGAACACTTTCCAACTCGGCATTCAATAAACTGATATTCTCAATTTGCGGCGCCTTAGGGTACTAAGGGCACAAGCAAAAGAGAGCTCATAATAATGTCATACTAGCTTTATGCCCACTGCAACAGACCTCAAATCGGACGCGGTAAGGGGTTGTATCTACACTGGGGGGAAACATGTTGGCGCAAATCCAAAAAAATATAGCGGGACGGCCGTGCCACGTATTTCCTTTTTCTCTCTATTTGGATGACGTATCACCTCATCAACTTTCTCATCGGAGTAATCTGAATCGTCAGACTCCGGGGTCATATACCCAAAAGAACTGATGCGTGGCTTTTCCTCCCTGTGTTCCTGCAAGATTTGTTTAGAGATTATGTGAGATTAACATTCTTCCACCTGCAACATATATTTAGTCGGGAAAGCTATCCTCCAACAAGAACGAAGGATGTTGAAGGTATCCACTCACTGACTGGTTATACCATCCGTTTAATGACTATTTACCTACATTAACCCTTGAAACAGGTAAACATCACACCAACTGATCGGCACATGTTCGTATCTTTTCGTGGATTGTTACAGGGATATCAACTGGTATCCTGCCAATGATCCGATTCCTCTCAGCGTTCGCTCCCGACATCGAAATTGCGGTGGTGACGTGAGCCGACGCTGGGGTTTGCGGCGGTACTGTAGCTGACGACGTCCGGCTGCAGCGTCCGCTGCAGAAAGGACAGGGCCTCGGTGGAACCGCTGTGGGCCATACGGAACCGTTATGTACCTAGACCTTCGAATAGGGGTGTCCAATGGAGATCCATGAGGGTCTTCCATCGGTGATCCTTTGGTGCTGGTATCTCAATGTGGCCTGCATGACCGATGTTTGTTAGTGGTACCTGTGGGCCATCTTTGCACCACCATGGAGGTTTGGGGTTGAAAGCCAACTTTCACTTTCAAATTCACGCCTGGTCTCCAGCTTGGATTCGGCAGCTGATCGAAGTCTGGAGGTTTGGAGATATCATCCGGGCCGTGAGTGTTGAAAGCTCAAGGGCTCAAGGGCAAAAAAGGAACTGAGTAGTTGGTAGCAGTGTGAACTCATTTGCCCCTGTGATGATGGTCAACAAGAGGTGACCCTTCCAAGGAAACTCGTCACTCGGATTTCCTTGGATTGGCTTCAGGAACCGGGAAAATAAGAAATCTGCAGGGGATTCATCGACAGGGAAAACACACATCACCTTAAGCAAAGCCAGGTTTCCAAACAAAGAGTAATAAAGCCAGGGCATTGGCGGAGCTGAGGAGTACAAGGCCAGGGCCATGAATGGACACGCCAAAGATTTGGATAGTGAAAACCGTGTTTCACAGCTTCCGTCGTGCCAGAAAATGCAACGTCTAAAGTCTGAACCTGTCTATTACTAATATAGAGTTAAACAGCAAACACTTTAAATGACTGTTACAGTTAATTGGACAGACACGACAATCTAAATTAGTATTTATGATGCCCCTGCTACAGTGCAAAGAATGAAAGGACTATCGGAAATCCGTTCTATCAAGACAAATAGCAAGACTGCACTTTCAAGAACCACCAGTTGATGCCCAAATCCAACTGTTCAGACTTGACTCGACCCCAAAAAGAACACACGAACCGCAAATCAAGCAATTCCACACACTCCATGGGACTGGCATGTCTATAACATGATCTGACCTACATTCTTCCTTGCCTATTCTGGGCTCAAATGGGCCTACATCCTTCGCCAGTCCCATAGCGTGGACATGGGGAATACTCAACCAAGGTCCCCCCTCCTCCCCCACCAAAATCACCGGAAATACTCAACTCAATCACACTGCAACAATCTGGAACGTGTTTGGTTCGTCGTCCCAGAAGCGCGTTGCCATTGAGAGCTCTTGGCCAAAGCATTGATGACCTCAGAAAACGTGTGTCTTTCTTGGCTCTGGCGATTTTAGCACCTCAAAGATGGCATAAACTCGAACATGCACCATATTTGGATTTGCTGTCCAAATCTGTCCAGACATCGGGAACAAATATATTCCCCCATTTGCGGGGGGTTCACGCATAGGGACCATGAAATGAACCCGAAGCAATATCAAGCAAACAAGCCCTGAGCCTCCAAGCACCTTCTAAGAATGTGCTTGGTGTGGGTTTGGAGGGTCCAAATACCTTCTGAGGAGGTACTTGGAGCCCTTTGAAGTTGTTTGTTCGTCGCTTCTGAAGAAGAGACCACTCCAATAAAAAAGGAACTCCTTGGAGCCCCCAAAATTGGGAATTCAATGGAACTCAGTGATCATTTCACTCACTAGCCATTCAGCTTCACCCAGTCTGGGGGAAGCTGGAGAAGTCCCCCACGTTCGGCTTGTTTCACTGGGAGGAAGTCTCCGACAGAAAAAAACCGTTCGCTGGGTCGACGGGTCCATTTCGCTGGGTCGTAGGGGGTCCAACGGTTCTTAGGAGGGTCCTAACCCTAGGGATCCAAGTACCTTCTCAGAAGGCACTTGGACCCTCCAAACCCACCCCAAACACCTTCTGAGAAGGCACTTGGATCCCTAGGGTAAGTTGGCCCATTTCCCTAAGTTGGTCTCTTCTGTTTCTCCGTCCGACTGAGGGTCCAACTTAGGGGGGCAGTCTCCCTCGAATCCACATCCAACCTGGCCCCACGGTCCAGGCGGCTGCGTTGCAGCTGATGGTGTTGCTCCAATCCTCTTGACATGTCTCGCGGAAGAGCTCCAGCGCCCTGGAAGGGGAAAAGGATGGAGCTGTCAAACAGCGAACATCCCCAGACCACTGGAAGAATAACTGCGCAGACATGTTTGAGGTCCAAAACCCTGACTGTAAGGATCAAAACCCTAGCTATGAGGGTCCAATGAGCCTTTGGGCATGAAACAACAACACATCACAGAATTTCACCAGTTCCCGTTGGAGCCTCGTTGGTTTTTTTACATGAATCTGCGATGTTTGCATGGAGCCCTTCATGTTTTTTGCATGCTCTAATCAAACCAGTTGTCCGCTCTAATCAAACCAGTTGTCCGCTGACTTCAACACGAACCGGTCCAACTGGATCTCATGATGCTTCAGGGTTCCACAGGCCCGGGATGTTCTGGGTCCTAAAGCGGTCAATGGCTGGGACGCGGCTGGGGATGTTTGGACTCCACTCGACTCCAATCGGAGCGCCTGGGCCATTGCTGTTGCCTCCCCAAGTCACCGATCCTCCTGAGGCAGGCTGTGGCGACAGGCTGTGCCAAGACCCAGAGCCCAGGGACGGGTTCGAGTGGATTTCCAGTGGAAGTCATACACAAACAACGATATCTGTGATCGCTGCAGCTATCTTTCCATGACCCTGGCATCAGTTGCTACTTCAGAACTGGCCGGTGAAAAAATAAAAATGGTAATAGTAATAATTATGATGAGAAAGATGGTGTTAAAGTATTAAGTAACGGTGAAATTAAAAAAAGTTAGAAAGTTTGTAAACGATGGTAAATATACTATAATTCAATGAGGCAATTAAATAGTTATGGAGTTGCACCGGATAATATTTGGCTATCAACCCGAAACTGTGAAATACTGCGAAAGATCGACCTGATCCGACACTCATTCTCAGCTGCGACACTTTCTAGGATGTGTTGAACTCAAATGAGCGAAGAAGACATGTGGATCTTGGTCTCCTGGTCGCGACTTTGAGTCGCTCGATGTCCATTTTCCCGCGATGCTTTTCTCCATCGCCGATGCTTCCGGACCGCGGTGCGATCAGCGGTCCGAACAGAGGCCGTTCACGAGTGACAAACTGCGGGAGTGACAATCATTGGTATGCAAAAAACACCAACACACACACAAAAAAAAAACAAACAACCTTTTTCCCACACCCCAGTGGCAAATTGAACCCGAAGAGTCTTCAATGTTCACAGCTTTTCACCAATCCTTGTTCGTGGCCGTAACTTGTTACTAAACAACCGGCAGATGCCAAAACACACCTCCAAAAAAAGAAAAGAACACACCTCCACGTCTCCAAACTTGCTTGAGCTCTTTTCCACCCGCGGTGTCCCCCGTCGCAGGTTCCAACGCCCCGACTCACGAGCGCCCCCAGCAGTTCTGCCGCCGGTTTCAATGTCTTCCGTCGCGTGTAGCTCTCCTGCATTTGGAAATCCATCGCATGAGGTGCCCATGTACAAGCGCCACATGCCGAACATATATGTCCCAGACACTCCATGTATGCCATATATATGCCTACATTGACCCCTCAAACCACCCCAATGTAGGCATATCTGGCATACATGGAGTGTTTGGGTGTAGAATAACACTATAGAATTCCCTATAGGGATCCACAATATCCTCTGAGGCCCACTGTTATTGGCCGGTGCCAGTCGGGTCCAGTCGTACCGAACCTGGGTCGGTACAGTGGATCCGTGGATCTATAGGGATTGAATATGCCAACATCGATCCCTGACCTCTCCCTCAGAAGGTATTTGGAGACTATTTATGTGGGCTTGGAGGGTCCAAGTACCTTCTGAGAAGGTATGTGGATCCATAGGGTCTGAGGTAATATTGCATACCCCCTAGGTCTCCAGTTGTGCCTCCTCAGGTTCGGTATGAGACCCGAGCCTGGCACCCGGGCCCCGGTCGTCCCACCGAACCGAAACGATACGGTACGACTGGAGCCCTATAGGATACAGTGAGTGTCTGGGTGGGTGCTATAGCGGTCCTCCCGAGTCACCGAACACCAACCCTTCGCAACACATGACACCATGGAGTTGGTGTGTGTGGCATCTGGCAGGACAACGTGCCAACGGTATCGAGCTCAGACTCCGCCCGCTAAGTCGCTAAGTACACTTCCAGTAGTGAATATCCTCCATTCCCTTCATGAAGGATGTTTGGGTTTTTTTGTAAGTGGATAGTGGGCACCCCTATCCTCCAATAGGCACCCCTTCAGAAAATCCTTGCTATTCCTTGAACAATTTCCAGTCCTCAGCTGAAGCAAAAGCCAAAGCTCCGTCTGCTCCTTAGCATTGGCACAGATTCATCTTGCTTGTACACGACCATCCCCTCCATTCACCAGCCAACCAAGGCCAATGATGGTCCCAACAAACCAAACCCAAAACTTATGTTTTCCTCATGGCAAATCAACCTACTTGCGTCGAACTCGTTGGATGCATCATCTCTGGAAGCCCCTCCAAGAAACATGTCAGGAACCCATGAAATCATGTAAACCAGGTGCTTCCAACGGGTCACCAATGGACAACCCTACCCTACCTACTATAGGTCTCCATTGGGCACCCATTGGAAGTGCTAGGTACGTGCCATGTGAACTTTTAATAGGAAGACCCTGATCTGGCCGCTGACTGGTCTGGATTCCGAACCCACGGGTCGGAATCGCCGGGTGCCTCGGTCTCGCCGGTGGACTGAGCGTGTCACCCATAGGGAGAAAAAACACCCCATATAGATCTAAAAACCTAATCATGAGTGGGGTGTGCCCAATGTTTGAACAAGAGGTTGGGCAGGTCATCACACTGGATGGGCCCGGATAGACTGAGAGATTTGGGTCGGGATTGGGGCTTAAGCCACAAACACCGGTGTGGCCGTCGCCGGCTTAGGCTTTCCGAGTGCCCATCCAGCGCGTTGAAAGCCCGGCAATCGGCTCTGAAAGGCTTCGCCAAGAGTTCAGCGGCGTTTCTTAAGAGGCACTACTGAGTATCACTGTCAGGTTCAAAAGAAATCCAATGAACAAAGAGGGAAGGTGAAGGATCACAGAACAAACAACCTGTGGTTTGCTGACACCAACAATCCTATCCCCGACCCACCCCGACCGATCCGTACCGCCGGCTGTTTCAGCAGGGTTCTGCCAGCGTGGCGGCCAGAACAGAGGAACGCTCGGCCAGCGCTGAGAAAAGGTCGCAGAACGCCAACAAGGTCAGCTGCTTCTGCGGGTGGCTTCGGTCGAAACTGCGCGTGGACCGGACCAGGTTCTGCCGGGTATCGACATGTATATAGACGGTACCACAAAAAGGAGGACCAAAACCAGTATTCGCTGGTGTTTGTTCACCATTTCCAAATCGTTTGGAGCAGTCTACAAAACCTCGTTGAAACACAGTCTAGAGTTGTCTGCTGGGAATTGGCCTACATGACTAGTGGTTTTGGGTGGTGAATGTCGGCCAAGCTTTGGCACGATGGTTGGAGGCATTTGGGACATGATGCCAGTCCCGGTCGAAATCTCGGACGTGCACTGCCCCACACAAAGCCTTCGACTTCATATAGAGTGAGTACCAAACAACGCTACCTATGGCAAAGCTTCGGAAATGTGTAGTATGCCAAAGTCCTCTCCACAAAATCCAAAAATCACTGGCAGACTGCCTGGCTCTGCATCTGCTCGAACAGATCCAGGGCAGCCTGCCATTGCTCACCCAAGACCTCAGGTATACTCCAACAGTTGAGCCATATGGGTGTGTATTTTTTTACCGTAGTCGGGCCGGGAAGTTTGAGTAGGGGGTATGATTCGAGGGTATGATTCGGGGTATGATTCGAGGGTATGATTCGGGGGTATGATTCGCGGCTTTGGAATTGTATTGTTGGCTTCGCTGGGCTTCCAGCAGTGGGCCCACATCTGCGCCATGAGGCAGTAGACAAACAGTATCTGTTAGTTGCTGGGCAGACTAGGCAATGAACTCTTCTACCAAGACCCCACCCAAAGGCAGGACCCTTTTGACTACAGTGGTTTGCACACCAGCGGCCCTCTGCAGCACACCCCCCAAGTACAAAACAGTAGTTTCAGCATAATGTAGCCCAACCTGCTTACTGTAAATGGAGGCACCCCCACGTCAAGGCACAGGTAGCGTTGCCACTCAGGGCGATGACTGGTAAACCGCCACTCTTACCAGGCACACCTCCACTGGCCATTTTTTTTCACGCAGAGCAGCTGGAACTATCGGTCTGCTGGGAACTGGCTGAATCCTCTTGGAGGTTTACTGCCAGCACTCGTTTTTGCTGTTAGTATTTCCTCTTGTTATGAGCCCACCTTTTCTCTTTTCGTCGTAGTGCAACCAACCAAGGGTCCCGGCGACTGATTGCTTCTCCCTCTGCATTTGGCCCACCGGCGCTGCAAGAGAGATATGTTCAATGGTGTTTTTTCTGGCTGCTGGGCTCGGAAGGACCTGCGCCAATCGTCTGTGCATTTCACCGATGTGCACTCAGCCCTCCCCACTAGAATTCCTTTTTTTCCACAGCTTGGCCTGTCAGAGAAAACGTAGTTAAAGACCCGCGCATGCCCTCAGGACGCACGCTCAAGCATGATGCAGTAGGTGTATTCGATCTGAAGATCGAGGCCTGACAGATCAAGTTTCTTGCAGTATTGCTTTGCCTCAGGCTCGAAGACTTTCACTTTGTAAGCTGGCCCTTGGGGCGGGGGGTGCAAAGCCATGGTGGCAGCAGCCCCAGCCTCCAGAGCCTGTCGCATGCCATCCAGGGAGTCAATGGTGCAAGTCTGGGCATAATCAGCGACCCATCGCCGTTGCAAGCCAAAAGCACCATCACACCTGCCTTTCCCATGATGTTCCGCAAAGAAGTGGAGATAGACTTTTGGGAAAACACTCTGGCATTGAGCAACCAAGTTCCAAACAAACTCGTAACTTCTAAAATGAGGGCCGCAGTCCGCCCAACAATGGAACTCTCTGACCCCATCAGTGGGCAATGTCTGTAGCAAGTCGTTCCTGGTTGCCAGCCAGTCTCATTCAAAACAGTTCAGCGAGCCTACTGGGACCAAATGTCACATAAGTAGAAAAATCATAGCTATCTTTCTTTACCCAAGGCACAGGCATTGGCAAGCATATGCTGAGTCGTGGTTAATTATCTGAGAAATGTAATGGTAATTTTCTTTGCAAAGTACGTTGCCCCTCCAGACACAAACATAAAAGCCCAATGTTGTCATGGCCTCTCTGGAGGTTGCCCAGAACCAGTCTTGGGCCTCCTCAGGCCCCAGTGGCCAGCTCATGTTCTCCATAAAATCCAATTGGACAAGCAACGCATCCTTGGGGAGTTTCTCTTCGTGGGCCTCTCTCTGAGAATGTTGCCGCCGCACAGTGTGAAAGTGGTGGCTGCCGCACTTCTCAAACAACAAACCTTCCGGATTGCCTTGCTTCGCTGAGTCATTGCCCGTCGAGATTTTGTGCTTTTTGCAAGGACTGCCCCAAATCTTGTACTCCAAGGTCGTGTGGCCCTTAACCTGTGCAAGCTTTCAACAGGGATAGCGCGACCAATGGCAAACAGGCAAACACTAACTTAACAAGGTTGGGGACATTGGCTCAAAAAGGGCAACTTGGGCCATTGCCAGGCCTTATCTTTGGGCGGTGTGCGAACTTCCACAGCAGTCTCTGGTTTCTTCTCTGGGGTCTCCACAGCCAAGGGCACATGTTCCAAGGGTGGTGATGGAGACGCCTGAGGCTGCTGGACTGCAGGCTCCTTGCCAGGGATCGTCGCGCAGTAGCGGTAGAGCGGTGATGAGTCAGTCAGTAGTCAGTCAGTCAGTCAGTCAGTCAGTCAGTCAGGCAGGCAGGCAGTCAGTTAGTTAGTTAGCCGCAGTAGTGGTAGTACTAGTAGCAGCCCTGCCATTAATGCAATCTTTCTTCAACCCACGTCCGCCAAAGGTGGAGAAGCATCAGACTTCGCCAGAGGAACATCAACTTCGCAATGCTCTGCAGCAGGCGCTGAAGGGGCGACTGTAGAGTCCTGCTGGGGAGCATAAGGTCGCAGCTTTGTGGGCTTCTGGGCGAGCTTTAACACTTCAGAAACGATAAAGAAATGATACTAGAAACGATTCATTCGGGTATACTCGTTCAAACACGCACGCAATTTGGTCAAATGATGTCCGTCGCCGGTGGTGCGAGCTCACAGCTTCCCGATTCGGTCGGCGGCATGCTTGGCGCGTGACTGCCCATCTCAGTCGGCGCATGACTGCCCATCTCAGTCGGACCAGTTGCTTGCTCAAACAGGTCCGCTACATTCACGGCCTTGCTCTCTGACTTTTCCTACCAAAAGGGTCGATCCCAAGGATGACAACAAGCAGCACATGCAAGTTCAACAAGGATTTCCATTGAGTCTTGAGTCATGGGATTGGATTAATGTTTACACCTCACTCTTCCATCTTGCGTGCTTGGATTTGGATTAGGCATTCCCTCGCAGTCCTTGGCTTTGCGAAGCCTGCGCAAAGACTTCAGCTCTTCAAAGCTGCCACCGTTCTTTTGGCAAAGGTCCAACAGCTCCTTCGCTGCTTCTTCTGAAGAACGAGTGGCGATCCTCTGGTTCTTCTTCCCAAGGGAGAGCACATGGGAGTTCTGGTACCCCTGGGATGTGAGCCTTTGCTCTTCCGACAAGAAAACAGACATTTTGGGCCAAAGAATTGCCTGTGCATGACAAGCTTGCAACCGGTCACGCCTGGAGGTCGTGTGAAGGGGCCCAGCTTCCGAGCAATCTGAAACAGGGTGGACCCACAAGCCAGGTATTATTCGCTAGGCGCTGGGAGTTGTTTTTTGCTTCTCTTTTCATCTGCAGTTGTTACTGCTTGGAGAGCCACCCTGCTACTTGGTGGCTTGCAGAAAACCACAATTGTAATTTGTAATGGACACAACCTGTCAAGAACTTCCCCCTAACATCTTGTTCTTACACCTACATTTTGAGGGGTATGATTCGGGGGTATGATTCGGGGTATGATTCGGGGGTATGAATCGCTCAAGTCGAACTTCCCACCAATACATCAAGAAGTACACGTCAAAAAAATACAAACCCATATGGCATAGCTGGTAGACAGGTAGAGGAAAATGGTCTTCCACTGATCAATTCTCAGGTTCCATGTTAGTTTGCGGGAGAGTAAGCTTCAAGACCGAATCCATAAACTCCGCAGGCTGCAGGCCATGATGCGGGATGCCATCATGGCCACTCCAGTTGGCTCAAACATGCTCAAAAGATCTGCTTCTGTTGGGTGATCCTCCTCCCCCAGTGATGCTCTTTGGGATTAATTGCATCAAAAGAGTCCAAACAAGTTCTGCCCTTCTGGTGAAAACGAAGCAAAACCCGCCTATTCTGAGCAAAACAGAATATCAAACAAGTCTTCGGGTTCGTAAGGTATAACATATTCCAAAACAACTACTGTATTCCAAGAGCTTATAGGGTACACCCTGGAAGCTCTGTGTTTAAGGTACACTCCATGTGAGGGAATTCACAGTCTCCAAGATCCGGGCACGGTGAAATATACCGCTTCTCGCTCGATCCATCTAAAATGATCTAAAATGGCTAGAAACAAAAAACAATTGTATAACAGCAAATGGTCTTACTATGGTCTAACAGCAATTGAACTGCCTAAAATGGTTAGTTCATCTGATTCAGTTGGTTAATATTATCTTCAGCAAATGAAATACCATTGAAATACCTAAAAACAGCAGGACCTTCACTGCCAGGTCACCTGCCCAACAACCCTTCAACTAAAGACCTCTTAGGAGCGCTTGCATGGGTACAGGTGGCTCTTTGACCACTGGGAGCCTCACAACGGCCCCCATTTTGTGTGTCGGAAACTGTAGATCGAGCTCGTTGTTTTGGTTTCTGCATTTTCCGTGCAAGCTGTGTCTGTTTTTTTCTCAGACCACCCTCACCCGCGGTGTAGGCAAAGCGGCACATGCACGCAAACACGTAGTCCACACCACCGCGTTTGCCGTTAGCCCTTCACGTTGCAGGCGGCCCAGAAGCTCCAACCCACAGTGCCAGTGGCGCTGGCATGCCTTGGAGCGGAGCTTGGTGGGGCATCTTCCACCGGTTCCCGAGTCCACTGGAGGTTATTCACTGTACCTGGGGAATGACATCGTTCAACCAATGGGGGTCAACAACAACAGCAGCAACAACAACAACAAGCCATATATGAGCATCTGCCAAAAGGTCTTGTTCACGGAGAGTTATGGCTTTTGAAGGGGCCCCATCGCTATTTCAGAGCCCAGCCACAATTTCAACACTGAATCATGCTGACATAATATGCTGGCTATACCCCAAAACTGCGGTGACAAGGTTACAGTATCAGTATCGCTTTTTAGAGGGGCCTATACATATTGCTTTTGCAGGTTGTAGCCAACTTCCTGAAATTCACGACTGCTCTTGCTAAATGGATCATTGTGCAACAGCCAACAGCCTTCCGAAGAAGCATTGTGCCTCCGATGCCACGCAAAGTACGTTCAACCAATGAATTTGGATCCTTTTGATCCTTAGTGGGGCGTTGTGTGGGTAGCCCACCAAAAGGCCTGGGGCCTGTTCTGTCAGAATCCACCCGTGCTCAGCAGCTCAGCAGCTCGCAACTCGCGACTCGTCTTCACCGAGTCACGCTGATGGCAGCGCTGTAGGTGATCAAATCCAGCTGTAACCTGGTTGGCGGTGTCAACTCAATTTGAAAATTTCAGAGGGTAAACGAATCATTCATCCTATGCAAGTTGAGATTGAACATAGACAGATCAACAACCAAAAAGCCAAGTAAAGGTTGAAAAGAAACAAATCTGAAACCACCACCCAGTAACTGTAGCTCTTCAGCCCGGTCCAGCAACTCCAAGGCCTCGAGCGGAAACGACGACGACCGGATCGTTTTCTTGGAGATCGGATCGTATCAAATCTCGGTCGCGTGGCCATTCATTCCGGTGACCACTTATTCGTAAGCTGGCTGCGCATTCTTGTTCCAGCCAGTCGCATGTCAACAGGTCGTGGGATTCTGCCTAGCTATCTGGGTCTATGCTAGTGTAATTGTTCACACCCTCCAATCCTTGTACAAAGAAATGTAGTAGGAGTACCTTGGAATCAAATTGGCTGCGGCAATTTTCGCAAGGGCTCTGAGGGTTTTTCAGTTTGCTTTCCTGCAGATCAGTGATGAACCTCTTACCACCCCCACCATCCAATACCACCGAACAATACCACAAAACAAGAAAAAAACATGTGCCCGCGTGCACAAACCAACGCCCAACAAACCTCGCCCTGCCCGCGCACTCAAGGTCGACACCAACAGCACCTGCTGCCAGTAGATGCCCCTCTGAGCACTCACCGCACCTTGGCTTTGCTGGAAGCGTGAACACAAATAAAGCATATTCCCAGTTGGGGGATGGAAGGGGATTCCTAAGCCAAAATCATGGTATTTACAAGGAAAGGGATTCATATACCCAGTTCTGGAAAACATTTGGGATTTACCCAGGCCATAAATAAATCATCCAAAAGCAACACCCAGGCGCTATTGAAGCCTTCCAAGCTCCAACACGGCCAACGCCTCAGCAGCTGCCGTGCCAAGTCTGCCGCCCCGGCAGCATCGCCTCGTTGGGCCGAGCGGACCGGGGCGAAGAGCAGGGACGGAGGTTTCACTTTAATCCATTTAAGGAACACTAACATCGCACTGGTCACACAGCAAATACGTTAATATATTTATTTATAAAAGTTAACATTTTGTATAAAACAATATGCTATGAGAATGAGGACAGTATGATGCTGTTAAAATGCTTGAACAATAAATTACTGTGTGAATTCCAAGTGCTCTATGGGACAGTCTTTCGACCCAACAAAAACATCAACCGCCCCAAAACCAAGGAAAGGCAACGATGCCAGTCCCAAACAGGTCGTGGAATGATACAGGACTACCCTTCTTGTGCCCAGTACTTAGAGCCCACCAGCTGCCCACCAGCTACAGCCATGGCCCACCTTAGGAGGTGTTCTTTTCGGAGCTGAAACGATCTGAAACTGGCCATGTCAGACCTATGAAAGCCCTTCCTGGCTTCTCACCCGGTGACGAGGTGAAAAAGAGCTGATCAACCCAAGGGGGGGAGAGTGCAACCCCAAACCAACAGAGGTTAAGCCTAAGCGACCCTTCCACGAACGGACCCGGAAAACCGGTACCGATGACCTGGGATAGGACCGAACAGTCGGCGACTCTTACGTCACCTCCGTTGGAACGGACTTTTGACATGGCGTCATTCGCGTCACAGCTCGTAGTCCTGCAAAACCTTCCTTCAGAGCATGGTGTGTTCTTCAGTGGGGACATTGCTGCGCCGAACGGTGGTGCCGTTCGTGCGGCCCGGGTGGTGCCGTTCGTTCGACGCGCCAGGTGGCATGCACTGATGGCCACCTGGAAGTTGGTCGCAGCGAAGTTCCAGCGAAGCTGCTCCATGGAGTCCTCGCAGTCCCAACGGCGGTGCGGTGCGGTGCTCCACAGTGTAGAAGGCACCGTGGAAACGGTGGTAGATGAACGGGTCTTATTGATGTGTCATTTTTCGGTGTGCCAAGTGTTGAAGGGGGGTTCGTGAGAATGCTTGCACGTGTATCACGTGTATAAAAGCAAGCAGTATAGGCGAAGCTCTTGAGAGTGACTTCCTCTTCGTCTTGCCCAAACAGAACACTTGCCACGCCACGCCGCAACGCCACCGCCCAACGCACTCCCCCCCGCCAGCAACGCGACAGCTCGGTGCCACTGGCTTCCCGCCACACAGCAGCTCTGCGCCGTGGCCCAGGTCACTGCGTCGCAGACCGGGCGCGGACCGCGCGTGCTGCGTCGCAGACCGCGCGAGGAGCTCGTGGTGGTGGATTGCGCGAGGAGGTGGAGCCCCAAGGGCCAATGAGCACCTGTGGCACCAGATTCTCTTTGGGGCAGGGAGGGTGGTAGGGAGTTGCCAGCTAACTTGCCAGCCCACTACTCAATGAAGACATGTTTTGAGGTTGTTGATGGACACATCTAATGTATGTATATTGAGAATACATAAATATCCTCTCAAGAGGCACTTGGAGCTTGGTGCACATGTCCAGCTCTTGCTTAGCTCTTTAGCTCGACCCAACCAGCGTGGAGAACTGGGTAAGGAGCTCTGACATTGAAAGCTGATCGTCCAAGACATGTTGGCAGCGTCCGTAAAACCGTAAAACTGTGTAGTGGGTGGTCCTTTAATTGAGTGCTTTGAGCTACAACAACGCTGTCACGGTTCAATCTTGATGAAGAGCGGCCGCACGGCAGCTCCGAACAACGTGACCTTTTA